GCTCCATCTTCTGGTATTTTCTTGGAATTTTCTCATTAAATATTTTAAATTAGTTTCTATTTTTTAATTTTCAATAGTTTCCCCTTCACAATTCTTGGTGTAATTAGTTTCTTGAAAATTTTTCTGACTTCTGAGCTCTGTTTTTTTTTTCATTTTCCGTTTTATTTAATTCCTTGAATCCATCTGCAAAGAAAAAAAAATTCAATTTTTATTATCTGGGTGCATGCAGATAACATCAACAACGGCAAATCTGGTCAAAATGGTATTTTCCCACCAACAAATATGTGGGATTTGAACTCAGGTTTGAGCTTTCAACAAAACTTCAACCCCCACCCTCAAGAACCCATTTTGTTCCATCCAAACAAGGCCTTATTTCCTCCAAGAAAACCCCCTTTTGACCCCCCCAACGACGAGGCTATATTCGACCTTTTCTTCAAGGCTGGAGAGCTCATCCTTTCTGGGCAATTCTCGGACGCACAAATGATATTGGCGCGGCTCAATCACCAAATTGCCCCTCTGCTCACTCCATTACAGAGGGCTTCTTTTTACTTCAAGGAGGCTCTGGATTTATCCCTCGCCTTTCCCGATTTACCCCCGGGCATCCCGCCGTCTCCCGTCGACGGCGTGTTCAAGATGTCCGCTTACAAGGTCTTTTCCGAGATTTCACCCCTCATCCCTTTCATGAACTTCACCTCGAACCAGGCGATCCTCGAGGCCGTTCTCGGGGACGACGACCGCCGGCGGAAGGGCATTCACGTCATTGACTTCGATATCGGCGTAGGGGCACAATGGTCATCTTTCATGCGGGAGCTGAAAGGGAAGGCGCGGTTTCTGAAGATAACGGCGTTTGCTTCTCCGTCGACCCACCATCCCTTCGAGATCGAACTGATGCACGGCAGCTTGACGGCGTTAGCTGACGAGGTCGGTGTCGGGTTCCAGCTCGAGGTGGTCAACATTGACTCTTTTGACCCCGCCTCCCACCCGTTCGCCCCCTCCGAGAACGAGGCCATTGCGGTAAATTTGCCACTGTGGGCCCACCGCGAAAAGCTCCCCATGCTGCTCCACTACGTGAGACAGCTGTCACCAAAAATCGTGGTGTCCCTCGAACGGGGATACGAACGGACGGACCTCACGCCGCCACGTCACCTCATCCACGCCGTCCGATACTTCGAGACCCTCTTTGCCAGCATAGCCGCCGCCGCGACCGTCACCTCGGACGCGTCGAACAAGATTGAGAGATTCCTCTTCCGGCACGGCATCCAGAGCGCCGCCGCCGCCGCTTCCCGGCCGGACCAGTCTCCGCCGCCGCCGCCGCCGTGGAGGACCCTCTTCGCGTCGGCCGGATTCTCGCCGCTGCCGTTCAGCAGCTTCGCCGAGGCCCAGGCGGAGTGCATGGTGAGGATGGCGCCCGCCGGCGGGTTTCGCGTGGAGAGGCGCCACGTGTCGCTTTCGCTGAGCTGGCAAAACAAGGAGCTTTTGTCTGTTTCATCTTGGAGGTGCTAATGATGATTATGTGAAGGAGAGAAGCTTATTTATGAAGTTAATTGTTATAATTATGAGATAAGTGTAAACTTAATGAATGCTAGTACTATGTTTGATTTGTATTCCTAGGCTGGATATTTAATTGTTATTGGTAACTTCAATGCTTATCTAATCAATGGTTTAATTGCATTTATCCACTTTTAACATAATTTCATATTTAAATGTGTAGCTAAGATTCCATTAAAAAATGGGGAGCTTAGATGGTTGTGAACAAAGAGAGCGTTATGTTTGAAGTTTTTTTGGCTGATTCTCAACAATGCTAGCGTGAAAATTTTATCTAATTTATAACGAGTAATTTTTTGAATGCATCAAACACAATACGTTCTTCGTTCTTTTTAACGACCATACTTTATTTACTCCTTCCATCCCCCATAAATCTTCACAATAGTCATTTTTCTTTGTCCACAATAGATCTTCTCATTTCATTTTTTAACAACTAAAATACCACAACTACCCTCACTTACTTTATTTATTACACTTCACCCACCTCATTTAATACACTCCACCCATTTTCATTAAGGGTATTATGGTAAACTTTCACCTTTTTTCAACTCTCCTTAAAAACCACCAAAAGTCAAAATAAGAACATCTTAGGGGGACGGAGGAAGTACTTCTTACTGTTTTGTCAGACCTGCGTTACTTCAAGCGGGTGTTCAATAGTTTCCTGCATTACATTAGGGAGTACTCACTCCGTCTACCTAAGATCTTCCCATTACGCGTTACGAGGCTTGATCGACTTTATTTTCAATTCAATTTAATTGTTTATAGGAGTAAAATTTTAAAATAAAATTTATATAGTAATAAACTATATGAAAAGTTCTACAAAACTAGAGGTGACAAGACTATATTATTTTACGAAACGACTAGTAAAATTGAGCAAACAAAGTGAGTAAAGTTTGACCCTGTGAATAGTGTCTGGGAAGATCTATGGTGGACAGAGGGAGTATAAGATTGAGATATATTTTTAGTGTACAATTTTTGGAATAGCAATCAATGATTTTAGTAGCTAGCTTCTTTAATTTTGGCTTTTTGTATATTCAAATGTGGATAAAAATCTAATTAAAAAATGTGGATAAAAAAGAATTGGAGTATTTAAAAGAACTTTAATTTGTTTTTCGATTAGCAAATCAATGAAGTTAGTGTTGTGTCTTTGGCAATTTATTAAACTTAAATTTAGGTATTGCCGGTTAGTTTGGTAGAGTACAAAACAAAAATCATTCTAAATTTTGTCATGTTCACATTTTTTGAATTAAATGCTCCTTCCGTCTCAATTTCTTTTGTCTAATTTAATTTTTACATCATTTTAAAAAATATAAAAATAAAAAAGTATTGCATATGTGATTGAAATTTATTTGTATTAAAAAGAAATTTTGCGACTCTAATATTTATTACAAATTACAAAGTATGACATACAAAAACTCCTTTTGTACAAAAATAATCGCCCCAGTTTTCATTAGTTATTAGATAAAATAAAAAACTATTATTGTAATATCTTAAAGTTTTGAAATAATTTTGAAATATTTAATATAAAGTTTGATAAAATTTTACATGTTATTCGAAGTGTGGCGATTATTACGGGGTGGAGGGGCAATAAACAAATAAATGTGAAATATATTGTTTTTTTGGAAAGTACTTGGTTGAGTACGGTGAAGGAGTTGTGCAACTTGTAGGAAGTTGAAACAGACACGAAAGTATTTGATTCACTTGTCTCTCTTTGTTTTTTCACTTACACCCAAATCCCAAATGTTTTTTCACTAAGGGAGTAAAATAAACATGGGCCTCTTTGCACAATGAATAAAACTATTTCTAACCGAGAGATGTACCTCAAGCTGTACAATTTTATGATTAGACTGACACAAAATATCACTGCTAATAAATTTTTTGATGGCATTAACTTTGTTTTGAATCTCATCCAACCTCTCGTGTAATTTTGTTTTGAATTTTATCTGACCTTGTTCGCCAGAACATATTACATTCAAAAGTATTGAAATTAAAATTAAATGTTCGAACAAAGAACTAATAACATGAGACAAATGTTAATGACTTAAGAGTACTTTCTAATTACATTTGTTAGGATTGTTTGCCGTCACTTTAATTGTATGTTACTTTAGTTCGGTATTATATCCCCTTTGACTCAATCTATAATTAACCATTGTTCACATAATCAAAGTTATGGCTTAATCAGGTAATTAATTAACTTCTTTTAAAAGACAAGTAGCTGTGCATTTATTATTTTCTGTGGATGGAATTTTGGTCATTGTTCTTGTGATTAATTCTAACCTGTCGTACTGAGACCACATGGGTCAAGTTTGATTGAACAATGTATAGATAATAATACTTTTTTCAAGTCAACAGTGTCATTGAACCTTTTTTTGTTTTTGCATATAATTTTCGTATGATAGCCGTGGGGCTATATGAATTTCACTCTATGGCCTCTTGTTTTTTTTTTTTTAAAAATTATAGTCCAATATATCTATAGTTTTATTTTGATATTGTTTGACTCGGTTTGGTTGAAACTTTTTACTACAAATATTTGTTTCATCAAGATGCCCTAATTTTTCCTTAGAACATTTTGTGTTTGTTTTTATTTAATTAGGCGATTCTTGATTGAAAAAGTCACACAAATACTTGCATCTTTGACCGATTATATAACATTTGTTTTATATTCTTTTTTGCCCACCACTACTTTGAGAAATCATTGAAATTTATATCGCTAATCTAGCCTAGAGATAATATTGTACTCCCTCCGTCCCAATTTAAATCGCTCGTTTTGACTTTTAAGCATATTTAAGAAAAATAAAAAATAGAATTGATTTTTTGAAATTGACATTACTTTTTAAGAGGGGTGATGATGAATAAGAAGATAATGTGATAAAGAGTGACTTATTTTAAGGGTAATTTAGGTATTTTGTTTTTAAAAGTTTACGAAAACAACTAACAGGCAATTTATTTTGAGACGAAGAAAAAAGGCAAACAGACAATTTAAAATGGGACGGAGGGAGTATAATCAATCAAATTTAAAAGTATTGATGTAATTTTCCTTATCAATTAGACAAGATTATTGACTTTAAGATCTTAACGTTGATATGATTTTGAATAAAAACACATATGTTTGGAGATGATACTAAGGGTTTTACCTTAATTCGTAGTGTCTGCATGTCTGTTTTATGTAGTTTGGGATTGTTACTGGTGTTAATATGTGTACGTCTTGTGTACGTGCTCCTGCTCTGTTCGTACTAATGCACTTTCTTTATCCTTACTTTTACTTTTATGTTTAAGTCGAGAGTAATTTGAAAATAATTTCTCTATTGCTCGACCTTATGTTCAAGCCAACAGTTATTTGGAAACAACTTCTTGTTGCAAAAGGTTGAATCTCCAACCCCAATAGCCCCCACAACCGGCCCGACGAATATGTGGAAGGAGGTAAATCACGATCCAGCAAAAGTAGTAGTAAACAAATCAGTTCCAAGCTAGCTCTTATATATGAACTTAGACAAAGATACAAAACTCAGTTGTTGATCAAAATATTAAATCTCACCCATCAAATTTTGATCTAAGGGTTGAGATTCTAAGAGAGGGAAGCCATATCAAATCAGTTCATGGTTAGTTGAAAGACTTGAAACACACAAAGGAGCAAACTAAAGTACTAAAGTGAAATGCCCATTTTGAAATTGAACCTCAAAGTCTTCTTAATTACATACATAAAGACTTGAAAACAAGTACAATTTGACAACTTTAGGCTGCATTGTTTGTTACTATAATCATTTCTCTTAAATCTTCCATATGCTCTACAAGTCCTTGCAAAACCTAAATGAGTGAATTAGAGAGAGAGATTTAGTTAGTTGTTAGCAAAAACAAGAAAAATGATGGCAAAGACCATTTGAGATTTGAGAAACTAACCAACTTAGTATCCTTAAGTGCAGCTTCCAATGTCTGGAATTTCTGAGGAACAACAAAAAAACAAAATCACACTTTAGATCCTCCCCCCCATCATGCACTGAAACTAACGGCCGCGTTGTGGGTGGGGCCCACTTCTGCCGTGAAGCCGCCGCCAAAATCATGACATTGTGTTTTTGGCCCTTGGGTTGCACCATATATAAAAGATCAACCGTAATCTAGTTTCCATGACTTCGATTATCTGTTTGTTTCATCTTTTTTTACATTTTACCAAAATGTGACAACTAACTAATTCATCAAAACAGTTTCATCAAAAGGAAACATAAACTACAAAAAAGTGGTCACTCACTGCATTTGCGTCGCAAATAACGGATTCAACTTTTTGGATTTTCTGCGTAACGAGTGGCAGATGAGATACTTGCGCTTCCTCAGGCTTCCTGAAGCCGGGAGCTCTTTCTGGCGTCACATCATACACATCTTTTATGTGCAGATTCTCCTGTATCCACAAGGTACTTAATATTGTAGCAATATAAGTATAAAGTACCCCCCCTAAAAACAACAAACCCAGTAAAATCCCACTAAAAGTAGGGTCTGGAGAGGATGTGTGAGCGCAAACCCTAAAGAAGTACAAGTTTTGTATCATTCAAATATATAGTAGTAATCACAATGTTTCCTTACAGCATCATAGCCAAACACATCTCTTGGGGACACATGATTTTCGCGTTGTTCCTCTGTGTTGCGCATTCCCTAAATGAAAACTTGTCATATTTCAACCAAAGATTGTCTGTGTGTGTGCACGCACGCGCATGTCATAAAAAACATTCTTGCAAATAATGATTTTGAACCTGTGGGGAATCTAATATATAGGGATCATTCCAGGGTCCCTTGTCACTGAAGAGGCAACCGCCATATTCAGTACATGTGCAATGGCCATCCAAGAATGTTGGAAGGTTGCTGCGAGACCAACGAATAGCTAGAAAACCTTAACAAATAGCGGCAAAAAATAAACTTTCTACAGCAAAACTATTTACAAATGGTCGTTACCTCGGATCAATAACCTCAGCTAGGTTCTTGATGTCTTCAAGCACCTATAAGGGTAACACGTTGTGTTTTATTTAGATATTTTTCTCTCATTCCAAATACAACAACAAACCCAGTAAAATTCCACAAAAAGTAAGGTCTGAGGAGGTGTGTGAACTCTACCCCCCCCCACCCCACCCCACTTGGAAGTAAAAAGGATGTTCAAATAAACAGAATGGGTGGGGGGGGGAGATAATTCATTAGAAATCATCTTAAATAGGACTAAAACATAGAGAAAAGTACCAAAATAGGACTTTCATGTTTTTTTTCCCGGAATTAAACTTTGGCACTGTGGTAATGCGACTTTGCATTGTGGTAATGTGGCAGTGTACATGTGGAAATTACTATACTTTTTTGGTAATGTATATGACCATGTTTGGTAATGTAAGTCCTATTTCGGGAATAAAAACATAGAAGTCTTATTTTGGTATATTTTCAATGTTTTAGTCCTACTCTGGTCTTTCTCCCATAATTCATATCATTACTTGGATCTTCACTTGTGTGCGTTGTTCAATAAACGGCTTTATTAGCTTCCAGAGGAGCGTAAATCCAGGTCCAGCATTGACGATGAAAAGCCGGTGCAGTGTCTGCAATCGAAGAAGATTTACTTTATGTGTGTTTTAGATGAGTAGAAACCACTTTGGGGTCGGATGGAGCACCGTAGGACCCTCAAATGGCATGGGTGTCATAATATGACACCCATGATTGGTGTCAAAAGAACCATGGTCCTTTTAGAGAAGTGAAAATCTTCTTCTTTTTCTAGGCCTACCTCTGGGTAATAACAGCTGTCTATCTTTTGGATTTTCCAAAAGAGGTTTCTTGCATTTTTTGAAAAGTTAGACATTCCCTGCCAGAAAAGACCTTTTGTTAAGAATAAGCATTGGGCATAATTCATCTCCAAAGAGCTCTCAAGATGTGAGGATTTCCCAAAACTTGCTTTCGTGCATAAACACAAACGATTCATGAATATATAGATACTAACTAACCACATCTTTCACATCAAAAATGCTTGTAGTTGAGGCTATATGCTTCTTGGCAGCAGCAGAACAAGCAGGAAATCTCAGATTCAGAGTCTTTTCTTGTTCTGTCACGTGATACTTGACAAATCTCTCAAGTGTTGTGACTTTAAGAAGCTTATGAACATCCACCATTCCGATCCTTTCAATGTACACTGGCCGACCATGTTTATCTACTCCATGAAAGCCATGAGGGTAACACTTTTTCACCTTTTCGTATTCATCAAACTTGAACCCCTGCAATGGTTCATATCTCTCAAGTTACTCCTTTTTTTTTTTACTGTTATTCATCCTTGTAGTTAAAAACATGTTTTCTTTTTAAGTTTTTCACATAGCCCTTACATTGGAAAACTACCAAAAACTAAGCATATCTGCAATTCAAATATAACTTTGTAATGTTTCATGTATCATCATAAAGAAAGACCGGAATGTATATAGTTTTCAATGAAAACTAACTTTGCAGATTTTGTCAACTTCAAACTCCTCTCGCCATTTGAGGTAATTCAGAAGCACTTCTTTTGCTTTTTCCTTGTCAAAGCCCCTCATTCTGAGAAACCTGTTTGAACCAAGCAGAAGCAAAGCGTCTTACATTGAGAATAATATATTCACGTACCGTGCCCTATATAAGATATTCTTACTTCCTATGAAGTTTTGGGCAATAAATGCATCAATCATCTAACAGAAAATCATCTAACAGAAATAGTCTGTGTCTTTTTAGCCCGGTTCTTCTGACACTAAGGGCTAGTGTCATGATATGATCATATGACACGTCCATTTTAGGGGATTGAGAAGGGGAGGTTAGGGATAGGAACCACTTCGGGGTCGAATGGAGCACCGTAAGAGTCTCAAATGGACCTAGTGTCATATTATGACGCTGGGGTTGTTTTTTATCCCTCACATAGGAGATGTATTTCCTCACTTTATATGTTGTACCATTACACAGATGGAGGCATAAGGGTACCTTAAGATGGTATGATCATCGGGTTCCTTCCCTACGAGGGAAGGCTCTTGCGATAAAAAGGTACGAAATTCCTCAACTCTTTGTTGATCCGTAGTGTCATGACACCCACTCAGAATTGCATCCCTGCTTATGCTCTTTGACATGCCTCTCTTACGACAGAACGAAAGCCTCATCTTTATGTACTTCGGGCCTTTGCACGTAAAACAAGTGAGTTTCAACTGCAACCAGAATGCAAAGGTTTTAGGAAGCGACTTACTGACCTTCCTTAGGATTAGAGGACTTTTTACTTCTTCCCATGAATATGTCCCTTGGGAAGTTTGGCTTATCCATGTAAGCCTGTTTTAATCTAACACCACCCCACAAACATTAACCAAAACTAGTATTACTATACTTATGCCACACCTATCTTTTTTAGCTTAGAATTAACAACTATACACTCCAAAAAAACATTATTACTCCGTGTTACCAAAAAATAAATTTCATAATATAGTGGGTGGGGGCAGGGGCATTCATAACCTTTTCTTGTCCAAGAACAAAAAGTTTTAGGTATTTCAAAAATCCCAAATTCATATGCTAATCTGGTGCTTTCATTAAAAATAAAGCTAATTTGGCATTTCAAAAAAAGAGAAATCTTTACAATTTGAGAAGAATCCAAAAGAAAAAATATATATTTCTATTGCTGATTTGGTCAATACCCATAATTCTTTTCCTACAAAGATTCGAACTTCATAAACCGAAACATACATTACAATCTGATCAAGGCTCATTTTTTTATGAAACAATTCTAATACTGAGCTTAATTAGACTCTTAAATCATGAAGTTCTTTAATACTTAAGTAACAAAGGGATTTAAAAAGGGGGGATAAAGAAACTTACCGAGCACTGCACAATTTAGCCGTGGGGAAGATGAAGGCCAGAAGGAGGAGAATGGGAAGCAATGTGAGCTATGGAAGCAATTTGCTCGAGAAGATGGGAAATGGGAAGTCATGGCGGACATTGTGGAAGAAATTAGGGCATCAAATTCCATGCTTTTGTTGGTAGTTGTTGAAAAGATTAAGAAGAAAGCAATTAACGTTGTTAGGGATCGAATGTTTGGGTGCCAAGCTAATACCTTCTTCTTCTTTTTCTTAAATGTTCTCTGCCTCTTCTTCCCCTCCTAGGCTCCTACAGTCCTACTCCTTCCCTCCCTAGTCCCTCCCATTTTCTTTTTTTTTGTCAACTCTTTTACATATTTAGTTCCTACCTATTAAATATTATAAATTTAGTCCCTAATTATTAGAGCTGGCAAATTGGTCGGTCAGGTCGGGTTCGGGTTCGGTCACTTCAAGTTCGGGTTATTTCGGGTTCGGGTTAATTCGGGTTCGGGTTGAGAACTGTATGTTCATGACCCAGTGTCATCGGGTTCGGGTCGACCCAACGGGTTATGACTTTGGTTTTTTTAATTTTTAAATTCACATTAACACTTACATTTTCTATTAAATAAATTTAAAATATCAAAAAAAGTACTAAATCTATAAAATTATATTATTTTCAACTCTAGAGTAGTTTTTAGATATATAAATCAATATAAGGAATTTAAAAATGTTTAAGTTTTGGAAAAAAGTAAGATAATTATGCAATATCATTAAAATTTTGTCTGAAAATATACACTAAAAACAAGTAAAAAAAAAGTGTATAATTTTGAAAAATTCTTACTTTAGCGGGTCGGTCAGGTCGGGTTTGGGTTCGGTCGGGTTTGACCCATTTTTAGCGAGTCATTTCGAGTTCGGTCAACTTCGGGTTCGGTCATCAAAACCTTTGTTCAAAACCCAGTGTTTTCAGGTCGGGTTTCGGGTCAAAAACAGGTCAGGTCACTTTTTGCCAGGTCTACTAATTATTATATCAATTTTCACGAATGGTCCTTTATTAACATTTTCATTAAAAACATGGAGAAATTTGTATATTCATATTTCTCTCTCAATATAATAATTGGAGACTTTTCAAAATTGTATAGGTCATTTTACAATTTTAATTTTAAAAAGGGGTTTTGAAATATCATATTATTATAATCTTTGTTTATATACTTTGTACTCCTATATGAATTGAGATTAAGATGCCACCACATTTGCTCATTTTTCTCGGCTCACTAAAATTTTAATTTTCATTTACCTCTTATCAGATAACATCTAGGCCAGGACTCAGATGACCTAGGATGGAGTTCACTTTTTTGGAGCTATAATCTTAGAAAGGTCCTTACATTTTGTTTTACCTTCAAGAAGACAACAAAGGTCTTTATATTTTGTTTTGAGGACTTTCTAGAGAATTTATTTGCTTATTTTTCAATTTTTTTAATTTTACTTGGTCTTTTCTTTTTTAAGAAATTTTTTCATTTCCATTATTTTATATCGTACAAACAATTTTGAATTTTTATACGATTTTATAGAATAAATTTAAAAAAAGTAACAAAAAAAGAAAAACAAAGAAATAAAAAAGAGCGACCTAACAGTTATTACCATGAAACATTAAGGAAAAAAATAGGATAAAACACATTTATTAAACGTTTATGGATGAAGTATTGGATGGAATATCTCCTTGAATGTCTCCTCCCAGTTATTACAACAAAATATAAGAACCTCCGTTGTCCTTGAAAATAGAAGGATTTGAGGGTTATTTTGATAAAACTCGTGTCACCCGTGGGGTAATTTTCTGTTATAATCTCCTCTATTAAAATTGGTCACATAAGACAAATTTTGTGGGGTCAAGTAGGGAAATTTCCTTGAACCTTCTTCACATATTGCAATCAAGTACGGAGCACATGTTTGGCCATATATATCATGATCACATATTATGAGCAAAGATTTGATTTTTCTTTTCTCCAAATACTTTGCTACTTGTGTTTAAACTAATTGTCTTAATTAGTTAAGTCTTATTCATATGGTAAATGCATGACTTCACTCTCTATATAAACCAACTACACCCCAAGCATCATTATTCCTCACTAAGTATATCATCTATGTATATCTATATGTCATGGGGTTACACATATTACTACTAGCAAAGCTAAAACTCTTCAAAGCTACATCTCATGGTTTACACACACCCATCACCTTTTTGTTGTTAGGTCCTTGCATTCTTAAACTAGTTTCTAGCTTCAAGTCCTTTGGTCAAGTTTGGCATGACATGCTCCATTCTTTGAGGCTTTTCTGCTTCCAAACACGTCATATTATGACCGCCGCCGACGAACCAAGGCGCGGGAGGCTGCAGGCCTTGCGCTCGTTCTTCGAGCAGTTAATGCTTTCACCGAGGAATTATAATAGTGGACGGTTTGTCGATGCTGATGAGGAGAGTTTGCGTTCACTCGTGATGATACCATTCTAATGCATGAAAATGAAGAGTTTTCTTGTTAAATGCTCCTACTTCCTTCATCTCTAAAACTTCATCTTTTACTTGTATTATTATTAACATGGTGAAGAGTTTGTATATACTCCGTATGTTTTCTTAAATATTTGTGTTGATAAGTTGTTGTAATAAAATGCGTAATTAAATAAATTCTTGCTTTATATAATGTGTAGAAATTTTGATGTATTCACTTTTCTATGAATCCAAGCCAAATGGATCCTACTCCATACATGTTATTTCAGTTATTGAGAGCCTTTTTTCTGGGCACATAGCTGAAATTTGAAAGTTAGATAAGCCACTATACACACAAACCCCAAGTTGAATACAACTTTATTTGCTTAATTAAAAATGTCTTTTTTTACAGAGTGGTGATGAATAAAATAAGGTGGAGAAGAGTGACTTATTTTAGGAGTAATTTAATATTTTATCATTACAAGTTTATTATTATAGTAAGAAACAAGCAACTTATTTTGGGACGGACAAAAAAAAACAGATAATTTAAAATGGGACAGAAGGAGTATATAGTACATAAAATCCTCCATTTCATTGAATTTTTAACTGCATAATATTCTCATAAACAACAATTCACTATAGGGTGTCGATTTCTTACCCCCAATAAATGAAATAAAATGTACACTTTTGTAGCTGCTAACAGTCATATTCTTCATAAATAATGACAATACTCTAAAAAAAAGGGGAGCTAAGCTTTTTTTTCCAACAAAAACCTATCGCTACAAGTATAATAAACACAATGTAACTTTCAACACAATACATGTAGTAATTCAAAATATATATAAAAAAAAAGGTGGAACATTTATAGGCAGCCCCACACTGAACTGTGAAAAAGGGGAGAAAAAAGACATAGTTTATAAATATTTACAGATTCTTCTGGTAATCAAAGTTCAACCTCGTGAAGATCCTCACCAGAACTGCCACTTGTTCTCAACCCATCCATATTGTCGTTGGGCATCATGAACGATGAAGACGGAGGCACAATACCCAACACCTCTCCCAACGGTTTCGCAGTTTGATGATGATGATGAGGTGGGGCTGCCACTGCAGCCTCGCTGAAACTTCCGCTCCACGAGGCGGTCCGCCGCGTGTGTCCCGGGAAGGAGCCGGGCCTCGGAACGGCGGCGTTGTTCGAGAGATTCCCGACACTTCCGAACCTTTGGATGTTCGTGGCGTCTGATGATGATGTGGCGGGGGACGTGAAAGAATCGAGGTGGTTTTCGGCACGGGAGCCATCTTGTGTAGCGCTGTCGGTGGCGGTGCCGTTGGCGGCAAACTGTTCGGAAGAGACAGGAACTGGTGCGGGGACGAAAAACTTTTTGGCGGCGGGATTTGCCGGTTTGGTGGTGGAAGAAACGGAGGGTGAATGGAACAAATTGGTTGCATTACCACCACCTCTGTTGAAGGTATCCACATACCTGAAAGAGGGGAGACGAGGGCATTGTTGTCAATTTCACTAGTGAAATTGTGGTTGAATTTTCTAAATTGCTATACTTCCTCATTCCCTCCCATAAGAAGAGCCCACTTTGATGAGTCTACAACTTCTTAGTTCTAGTAAGGTACAAGTCCTACACACACACACACACACACACGTATATTTCTAAGCAAATTGAAAAATAGAACTCTTTTTGTCGGAAAACCAAACTTTTCATGGAACAGAGGAAGTAATGCATACTTACATAAAGTCATACTATGACCCAGGCTCTATTTGGGGCCCCTACGGCAATCCGTTCAATAAATTGACGGTTCCTACCCTCCTAACCCCCAGGCAAACCCCCCACCCTGGCCCGACCCGAACCCACCCCCCACCCCCACCCCCTTCAATNATAAACAAAAATGAATGAAGTGTTACTTTCATTAATGGGAAAATATGTAATAGGCTCAAAAGACTGACATGAAATAAAATGACACTTCCAATATCATTCCTAGGTATTCTTTTCTTTAATTTACTTGAGAAAAATTATTTTCAACAAAATCCAAGCCACAGCACAGCAAATTCAGTCATTTGGCCCAATTTTAACACCATCAAACAGGCTCTTAATTTTTCATTTTTGCTGTACGATTTTACGAATACTATTACCAAGTTTTGTTTAAAAAAAATACTGAATTGCAAATTATGTAATCTGAACATACCTTGACCGCACGTTTGTTCGGCTACGTGATGAGAACTGATTAGAAGTGGGTGGAAGTGGCGGAATTCCGGAATTACTGTCAGCAGAAGCTGGACTCTTCACTTCTGGACTTCCATTGCTTGAACCTTCACTCTTTAGAGCAGTCCGCAAGTTGTAATCTGGCGCTCCATTTTGAAATGACGCAATTGTTGGTGGCGGTGCAATTGTTGCTTCCTCAGGGGGTAAATCAGCCCCTTCCTCTACCCACCTTTTGAGCTTCTCATCGTAATAAAATTTATTTTGTTCACCCAATTTTGCCTACAGAAAGACAACACGAAGAACATATACTATTCATTGAGAGAAGAATATGTGGGGAATAAAGAGGTGAAACAAATTCACTGTTTGGTTAAGCTTGGAATGATTGAGGATTTGAGGATTAAGTAGTATAAATAATTCTTGAGATCCATTTTTGGTTTTCCCTTTGAAGAGAAATGGAAATTTTATGAATATTTTAATTTTGAACCATATTATGATGCCCCAAATTATGTAATGTCCATTGCTAATGGAGATAAAAGAGTCGTAATTGACAATGGTGAATAATAGACTAAATCAAAATGACACATAAAACTTCCTTTGCTTCTTACTTTCAATGAAGTTTTGGCCTTTGTGTAGTAAATGTATTAATGCATCGATGGGCCAACGGAAGTAGTCTCTCAGTACTTCACATGGGTAAGACTGTGTCCATATTGACCCCTTTCCACATCCCCCAACGAAGTTGGGTTGTTGCTACAATGCCCCCAAGGTTGACCCCATAAATGACAAATGTCTATGAATTTGTTCACATAGAAAGTGCAACCAAATGTGACAACAGACGATTGAGTGAACAAATTCAATATATATGGTGTCAAACTTGGGGGCATGGAAGCTTTTTCCTTCAATCTTTCTAATGTATCCACTTTTTCTTCCTTGCCCATAGGAATAAATAAACAATACCTAAGGACTGGTAGGAACATAGGACTTTTTTCCTCAACTTGAAGGAAAAATATTTCTAAAGGAGACAACCTTCTAACCTTCCAAAGGAGAAGAAAAACTTTTCCCTGCTAACAAACGACTGAATTGTGCAGAAAATCAAGTTTGAGGTCAAATACATATAGAAGATGCAAAGGAGAGTTAAGTGGCAACAACATCTTGCAGAATTAATTACCTGGCGGCCTTGGCGTGGCTTAAGGACTAGTTCGACTGTCTTCTGAAGGAATTGAGATCCAAAACTGAAGCGACTAAATCTCGATGTGCCTCCTCCAGGTGGATTTTCTTGTGAGTTAGTTGAGCTTGCAACTTTTGATGAGTCCATCTGGCCCTATACAGAGATAAAAATCTTCTGTAATCTCTAGTCAAGCACTAATGTCCTAATAAAATCCACTAATGCCAGTAAATTGAATAAAAGATACCTTAACCATACGCGTGGTAAAAAAAATTGAACTAGAGAATGAGTTGTCATCAGCTTTAAAATTTGTACTCCATCCCAAAAAACTGTCATGTTTCAAAAGATATTTATGCCCGAAAAAGTTTTATTTCAACAAAAGAATATACTTCTCATTGAATTTAATGTAATTTTTCCAATAAAACAATTGTTCCAACAAGTGTTTACAAAGAATTTGAAAACTTAAGTTTAATAGTTTATAGTAGTTGTCAAGACCTCTCAAACGGATGGAGTAATTTTTTTATGAATCAATCTGGCCTACTAGCCATAACTCCATAGTCCCTCCGTCCTTCAAAAGGTTCCATGTTGGAATCGACATTGTTATTAAAGAGGGGGAAATTGTGCGATTTAGAATTATGAAATTTTCCTTTGTGTATGGAACCGTTTTAAGGAATAAAGGAAGTATTAATCTTTGCACAGGAAAAGTCTACCTTCCTAACTATGATTCTTTCTCAGATGCTCATCCATTTGATATTCAATAAATGGAATACGATATGGAAGTTTGGCTGAGAGGTACCATGGCAGGTGACTCAGGGTCTCAAAAGTCAGATGGGTACAAGGTACTTTCGCTGGCTTCAATTCTAATGAGTTGGGGTACCAAAGTGTTACATAAATATGTTAAGATGCCAAAACATTACAATACGAATACTTAAGATACCATTTATATATCCGTTTTAATTTATGTTACACCCACTATGCAGATGTGAGATTGCAAACCTGTAGGGAACTTCTACCAAAGTCAGGTTCTGAAATGCTTCTGTTGTGAATTGTCTTTCTACTGCTGCTATTAGCTGCCCGTTCATTGATGGGCTCCATGGATGTTGAAGGTACTAAGGATGACATTGCCATTGTCGATTGGCTGTTGGGGACTCTGGGTCCTACAGGCTGATGAAAATATTCACTTGAGGGTGAATTGATACTCGAAGGTGCAGGTGGTGGTGGGTTCCCAAGACCAACACGCTGTGCAGTAGTGTCAAAAAGGTTAAGCAATTTGCCCACCAACTTCCCTGGGGCTAAATTTGCAGAGAAACCTCCCTATACATATATAAAGAGAACTCAATCAGAGACTCAGAGTTATCTTTGAAAAGAGAATAATGAATGTTCCGATAAAGGGCTAAAGGCTATAGAAAAATCAAGGCACCTGCTGGTGAGTTCTTATCCTTTCTTCCAGAGCTGATGATAGTTGTCTCAATGTTTCAACTTCAGGAGCTCGACCGTTTTTTAGTGATTTCAATAATGCTTGAGTGTACCTGAATCAAATTAAAAAATGGTGAGCAACAGCAATAAAGTTAAATACTCCATATTAAAATATGAAAAATATTTTTTTAGTACAAAGAAACAATAATAACAATAATAGCAATAGTAATAATATACGGAGTATTAAGCAACTGATAGCTTGCTCACATACTTAAGTGCATCGGATATCTTCCCAACTTCGGCCAACATGTAAGCATACACAAGCTTGTACGGTTGAAAGGGAAGAAGAATAAACTGGGAGTTCCCAAGCAACTTTGAGTATTCATAAAATTCAGTTCTCTATCCAAATGTGCAATCAAATAGATCAATACAGTGAATACACCAATATATATGAGTCACAAATTACTACGATAACAGCAGAATTAAAACCTTCAGTAATTACTTAATCATTGAGTAAGCACAAAAACAACATTCAGTGGATCACAAGTAAAACCTGAATGGCTTCAGGATTAGCATAAGTTCGTGGGAATTTCCAGTGATCTGCACCAACAAGACACAACCTAGCAGTGTCTGAATATTGCTCAAAGTTTGCCTCTGCCACCAGATAACAAATATGCGCGGCAACTATCTGAATTGCATGTTTTAAGAGTATATTCAGTTAGGTTGAAAAAATATCATCAAGAGCAAGTGACAAGTTAGACAGGTCCAAGGGTGAAGCATACATCATTTCTCTCTTGATACAAACAATCTCCCAGGTGAGTGAGCACCAGCTCGTCATTCTTTGTTCTATTAGCAGTTATCACTGCCAAATTCTCCTCCCAATGGTCCAACATGCCATTTCCACCAAACTAGAAGAAAAGTGAACACCAAAGCAACAAATCCAATCAACTCAACCAAATATATTCAATTTATGAGCCGATCACAATTCTCACCTTAACGCTTGGGGAAGATATAAGGGTCTTGCTGAGGGTCCCACACTGACACTTGGGAAAGAATTAAGGGTCTATTAGGCTGGAGGGTTTTGGTGGGGTCTGGAACAGAAGCCTTTAAAGGGTTTACTGGGTTAGTCTTAATCTTGAGAAATAGAAAGTCTCTACAACGAAGACGACAACAACAACAACAACAACAACAAAACCTTATATCCCAAGAAACTTGGGGTCAGCTACATACTCAATTTATGAGCCGATCACAATTCTCACCTTAACGCTTGGGGAAGATATAAGGGTCTTGCTGGGGTTCCACACTGACACTTGGGAAAGAATTAAGGGTCTGTTTGGCTGGAGGGTTTTGGTGGGTCTGGAACAGAAGGCACTAAAGGGCTTACTGGGTTAGTCTTAATCTTGAGAAATAGAATGTTTCTACGACAACAACTGCAACAACAACAACAAAACCTTATATCCCAAGTAACTTGGGGTTAGCAACATAAACAAAGAGGAGAATCACATTTGATCATTCACATAAATATTTTCTCGCTAATTCTCTCCATTATACTCTTGTCCAAATTCAGATAAGATAAAATGAATGAAATGTGATAACATTAAATGATCATGTATTACTTTAATCCTTCAATTTTTTATAACAATACACACACACCCACATGTGTGTGTGCGCGCGCGCTCATGTATACACACATATACTCCCTATGTTGGATTTCCCGAATTAATCTTCTCATTTCCTTTAAGAAAAGAATTTTTTGGTTCACATCCCTTCTCTCTCATACATATTTCAACCACAAAATTTCACCTCTTAAACCCTGTGTAAAAAGCAAAGGGGAGGATTAAATACGGACGGAGTGTGTGTGTGTAGAGAGAGAGAGAGAGAGAGACTACACCCTTCAAAGCCTTCCCCCCATCCAAATACACCCTAAGGCCGCTAAGAGGACATCAAGCTATGAATAAAGAAGAAATGCATACATGTGGAGTCTGTTGAGGGACATATGAAGCACCAGCCATGACCCCTTCAGACATCGTTTCAGTAGAAAAGACGGCAGCTGGCTGTCCAGCAATTAGTAGGCATAAAGTCCTCAATGGTGACCCCACTACTAACTGTCTAAGTGCCATCTGCTTAACAGTATCAGCATAGAACTGCAATGAAAGATAACAAAATGTCAAGGGAAAAGAAGTATATAGAGATCCACACCTTGCTTTTTTGGTTTACTTTTTCCAAAGGTAGGTATGTGTGATGATAACTGACCTGATCACCAAGTTGTGCAGCAAGAACAAGAGCAGGACCCCACAAATGACCCTCTTGTGCACATTGTAGTGCTTCTGTCTTTCTGCCAGAAACCAAAAGACCTTGAACCGCTGCAGCAGTAACCTAAAGCATATATATTGGGAAATAGTTTACGATGAAGAGTGCCAATTAAGAAAATAGTAAAATGTATCCTGAAAGCTAGACTGATAGTTTACGCCAAAGTTGTACCTGCATCTGTGCTTCAGAGGGCAATTGCTGCACGCATTGAGTACCACCGCCATATTGGTTGAGTTGCACACTCCTTTGAGCAGATGCAAATAATTTAGCAACTGTTGTTTCTGGAGCATCACTTTCCTGCTATTTAGTAAACCCACCTTAGCCCCAAATGGATCGAGAATACACAATGGTTTTTTTTAATTAAAGTAACAAGTGCCTGAATCAGCAGAAAGAATATTATAAACAAGTACTTTGACATCATAATTCAAAAAATAAGCCATGCACTTCTACTAACCAAACAGACTTTTACTAACCAAACATAACTGGACACAAGAATTGTATCTATATGTTTTACACTGATACTTCTTTATTTGGTAGATACATTGTTCTGAATGTGTATCGATGTATATGATATTAAACCCTAATTTAAAAGTAATCACATGTTTTATGAATGCACAATTACGGGATGTTACCTTAACTTTAGCATCAGTGCCAAAAGGGGAACGGAGTTTTCCATAATGCTGGCAAGCAATTTTTAACAGAGATAGAAGCAACCTCAAAACTTCGGCTTTCCTGTAGTCTAAATCAGGAGATCCTGAATTTACAATCCTGTCATCAATCCATTTATTTAATTCCTTACTGCCAACACTTCCCCCTACTAGTGGGCCAGGGAAGGATTGTCGGCATAAAGTTTGGAAATAACTGCACTTGCCAGTCCCAACATTTGAATCTGCTCTCTCAGTCACAATGTCCATCAAATCAACCACGGATATGGAACGTCCTATGGGATTCTTCACAGAATATACATAAAAGCTTTTCAACATTCCATGCCAGAAAGTCAACAAAAGTAATCTGGAAACAGAACAAACTAATACCACCAAAAAAATTTAAAACGGTCAAGGGACTAACCTCATTTCCAAATGAGTTGCTTCCCATTGAATTATTTTCTTTCATCAAAATAAGCTTCCCACCAAAGCCAAATGTAACCAAGGCATGTGGGGGGCGCCCTGCAGATGACCTTTCTGCATTGGGAGTATAAGCCAACTGCTGGGTGCTTTGAAATGGTTGCTGTACAAAGCTAAATGAATTTTGATTCCTAAAATATTCACTTGAGGAATGCTTGAGATCATTTTGGTCAAAATTTGGTTGATTGAATTGTTGATTGAAGCCTCCGCCGGAAACAATGCCATGAGACCTCCCTGGTAATGGAAACTCACTTTGACTTCCATTTGCATTCCCGTGTTGCAAACTTGTTTCCTCATAACTATGAGATATCTGATGAGTGAACTGGTTGGTAGCAGTGTAATCATGACCATAGTTCCCATCAAATTGCTGGTTTGCCCTGTATTCTTGTGAAGGCTCACTCTTAGCAACAGACTGTGTGTGCCATGTACTAGGGGTCTTTTGATTGTAATGACCAAAAGACTCGGACAAGTTGTTACCTATTCCTTTACCACTAAACTGTTGAGCTCTATCACTATTAGTTTGTCCAAACGCTCCTTGCATCATTTGTTCACTGTTTTGTGAAAAAGATGGCATGGACGAAGCATGACCATTCTGATTTAGCTGATTCTGTGGTTCAATGGTAGATGACTGAGAAGATTTATCATATGTGTCTAGAGAGCGCCATTCCATAGCGATTGTATCATAGTACCACCCTGGGTAGTTTTGATCAAATATCATATGAGATGGGTAGCCATTGTTCGCTTGCAAGGCCTGATTCCAATTCGTCACAGTCTGGGTTGGATCATTAGCTTGAGAATACTGATTCCAAGTGGAGACGTTTGCAGTTGTCCCGCTTTCTGTTTCAGTCCCCACGACAGACTGAGCAGTTTGCTGCAGATATGAAACCTCTGACTTCCCATTGGGCCAACCGGCTTGCTGCGATGTAGGGTCAATGCTCCCTTGTAGATTACCTCCTGCATTATAACTGTCCACTTGATACCACCCCCCAGTATTGGGATCATAACTCCATCCTGGATAAAGATTTTCCCAATACTGACTGCTGTTCATATTCGAAGCGTCCACCGCTTCCAGCTGATTTTGTGGATGAGAATTTGAAGCATTTAAATATGAAAAACCAGAGACTTGGTGAGCCGATACACTATGAGATTCAGCATTCATATTTCCGTCAACACTACCAATTGCATCACCTGAACTATCCTTCAGTTCGCTGAAAAAGTCAGAATAAGATCCAAAACCCAAATCACTATTTGAATCCTGGCATGCAGTAAAAGCACTCCATCCCACCTCCTTCACACCTGACTGCCCAGATCCACTGCTCTTATCAACAGTTGTGTTGGAAGTAGTGTCATCTGGAGAAACACCATTACTACATTCATCCACATTATCAAGACCAGCCGAAGAGTGTGCGACTGATGATGCAGTTTTCTTCTCTACCTTTTCCTCCACTGACAACCCCGGTTTAACATCATCATGAATCACCTCTCTTTCATCCCCACCGTCTCCAATCCCGGTTTCCCAACCATCTGTCTCATTGTTTGCATTCTCATTGGCATCACTTAGTGTCAAATTTGCAAAAGCCTTAACCTCATCCGATTCATTCCCATCCAAACTCACCTCACCTTCCGGCAGTGTCACAGGGTTGAAATTCCCATCGTCATCCTCATTCACCAATTTGTCGAAGAAATCTTCGTCCGTCTGATCTTCCGCCAAAATTGGAGGATTCGAAGCCATATGTTCAATTCCAACCCCGCTCCGAATCCAAAAAAAAACACTCGAATTCCGAGCTAACCTCGATCAGATCCGAGCTCAAAATCCAACGGAGCGCACCGACAAAATCCTCACGGAACGAGATCTAGGGTTCTCCAAGTTCTTCCCGAACAAATTTTCAGAAATTCCCAAAAAACAAAAATTGCTCGCTCAAATCAAATGACCATATTTGAAATCCAAAATCCAAAACAAAACAAGAATCATACGGAACACGTGAACTGCTTAACTTTACAGATCGAAACGTGTGTTACCTCTGCGATTGCAAATCCGGCGACCTGTGTATCATTCATTCATTCATTCATTCATTCCTCCATCAACATCATCATCATCATCATCTACACATGCATGTATGTATGTATCTAATGGACAGAGGCAGAGTCAGACGAAGGACAACTCTGTTTCGCTCAGGGATCTCAACTCTCCTCCACCTTAACAACCCAAACGCCATTTTTTCTTTTCTTTTCTCTTTTTATCTTCTTTTAATTTCTGGGGAGTTTGTATCATAAGTTAAACCATTTTAATATAGTTTTACATTGAAATCGATTATTCGGGGTGTTTCGGTGTCCCACCCGTAAAATTTACCGTTCCTACCCTCTAATCTAACTTCTAGTAAACTCCTCACTCCTCCCCGAATCGAAACATCCCCTCACTCCCTTCAGTTCCACCTCACAAGTTGATTATGATTTTGGAATCAAATTTTTATTACTCCCTTCGTCCTATATCTTTCTTCCCGTTGCGCAAAACGAAGAAAAATCCCAAGTTTTTTCAATCTATTTTATTTAAATATTGGTATAGAAATAAAAAATAAAACATACATATTTAAAAACTACATCAAAAGTTCAACAAAACAAGTAGTGACAAGAATATTTTATTTTATCATATAGGCCATGAAAAAATACAAATAAATATAAATTCCCGTGAAGTTGGAATAATGCTCTGGGAAGAAAGTTTTAGGACGGAGGGAGTATATTGTTATCATAATAAAGTTTTCATTTCTTTTTTTATTCATTCTAAAATAAATTTTTATTTCATTTAATATAAATATTTAGTACTATATTTTACTTTTCTAAAGTATTTTAAAACTTCTAAGCGAAAATTTGAAAGAAGAAAATTAATAAATTTCCACTTTTAGTTGATGTATGTCATGTATCTAGTGAATGTTAATTTTGTTTGGGTATTAATTGCAGTAAAGTTTGACCTGCATCATAAAACACAATGAATGATCATCACTTGTCAACTCCTTTTGGAATCAATCCATTAGTGATTACCCATAAAATAAATACCGAATTTGGTGTGATTTATTTTGGAATGTTGCTAAATTCACACTCAAATTTGTTGTATCCACACATTTCATCTATAAAAAGTTGTTGTTAGATACCTAAATTTTGTAGTAAAAACTTTTAGAACTCATCATTTTTCAAATATACTCCAAGGTAACTTACAATATCAAAACCTCAATTCGGAGAGACTTTCCGTCCATTCCCGTCATATATACTTACTATGTTATCTTTTCATTAGAGTATAAACGGATATTAATCGGATCGAATGTGTCAGTACCAGATTCGTATCCGTTTATTTTTATCGGATATCGAATTCGGATACGAATCTTGACGGATACTAAAAATCAAAACTGTATCCACATTGGTTGGATATTGGTCAGATATTGGATATATCTGTATCCGTTTCCAAATTTTTAAGTTAAATTGAAAAATACTTTAATTTCTAACTAAATTAAAGTCAAAATATTATTTATTCAATTGTAATTTATTACGGAGTAATTTTTTCTTATTTTTTATAATTTATAATATTCTACAACAACTCCGTATGGTAAAAAATATCACAATAGACATACACATATTTTTTTATGTGTCTACACATATAATTATATGAAAATCATTGCAACCAAACCAAAAATATGGTATACCTCGAGGTCTTTAAAAAAATATAGATTTAAAAACACTTTGAAGTGTTCACTTTTAAATCTAAATCTAAGAATTATCATTACCAAATACTACCTCCGTCCCATTGTCTTTGTACACATTTGACTTTTGGAACTGTTCATCTAAGTACTTTGACTCATAAAATTCTCTTAATGTGTAAGCCTAAAAATAGTCATGTGTGATCTTGTTTGATTCGTCTTAACATATAGATTATTAATATATAATTTGTATAATTTTTTAATATACAAATTACAAGATAAAATGAATTAAAGAAGTGCATTGGATGGTGTGCCAAAAGGTAAGTGGACAAACACAGTGGGACGGAGGGAGTATTAAATATTAAATTATTTATTTTACTTTGATTTTAGGGTCTATAGTGTTAAAAAAGCGAATTACATGTATTTTCACAATTTCATTTAAAAATACTCCCTCTGTTTCAAAAACACTTCCTCTTTCATTTTTCCCACTTCCAACAAAACACTTCCAGTTTATATTAAAAAATCATTTTTACCCTTATTTTTTCATACCCTACCTATCATACTTATTCTCTAATAATCTATCCATCACATCTTACTTTTACCCATTACATCAGGGGTAAAATTGGAAATCAACTATAATTTAACATTTCCTTATTTTTGCCCCAAATCAAAATGGGAAGTTTTTTTGCAAACGGAGGGAGTATTACATTAAAAATAATTTATAGGATTGAAGAAAATTTTGTTTGACCTCGTACATCGCACAAGTTAAAATACTACTCCGGTAGTATGTTAATAAAAATGTCTATAAACTAAAATGAGACTTCATTGTGTTTTACTCCATTAGTTAGTACAGTAAACAATTAATGACATGTATAAAAAAAAAAATTGGTGCAATTACAATTTTTGAAGTAATATCCCAAAGAAAATCATATTCAAATATGGGCCCAATCAATCTTCAATGCCCATCAAATTCAAGATGAATTTTGGACACAATGAACACAAGTGTCAACATGCTTAAGGTTGTTTTCCCCTATCAAAGTTGGCATTGTCTCTTACAACTTCCACAAATTGATCTCGAGAAAGAAAAAAAAGACATTTAAAAAGTTGATCAATTTCTTGATTTTCTCCTCTCAATTGAAAAAAAAAACATAACCAAAAAGAACAAATTGTCAGCAAAAAGAACCCAACTTTGCTTCCAAAATTTCTCATCCCAACTCAAAACAAAACAACAATGCTGCATGTGGTTTTACTCTTTTGCCCCTGTATTCAACCTCTTCTTCTTTGACTGGTCTTTCTTAATACCCGGCCGCCGGCGCCGGGAAGTTGAGATCCATCAGAACCATTTGATCACTGTCCTGAATCGATTCCACCAAGCTCTCTTCCAGCTCCGAAGAGCAGGAACCCGAACTCGACCCGAATGCGTGCGATCTTTTGTGCCCGCCGAGCGCTTGACCCGACCCGAAAACCTTCCCGCAAAACGGACACTCATGAACTCTGTGGCCGCCGCCGTCATCGGCCGCCGCCGCTGCCGCCTTCATCTTGTTTCTGTGAACTGTTCTGTGGCTGCCCAGCGCCTGCGAGCACTTGAACACTCTGTCACAAATCTCACACCGGAAATCCTCTTTGATCTTCGGCCTCTTTCTCCCCTGTTTCTCCGCCGGGCAGTCATCGGATCCTCCCCAGACGCCATTGGACAGCAAGAGAAGACACCAAGCCCCGTTTTCTTCATCGCACAAAGACCCAGATTCCGTTTCATCACCATCGTCGTCCTCTTCGACGAACAGCCCGCGGGCTCTCTTGGATCTAATAATTCCCCGATCAGCAGATCGGCTGAGGTCGCCGGAATCTTGATTCTGCGGCGGCGTCTTGGGCGGGACGGGAAGAGGAGCCAAATGCGAGCGCATGTGGCCTCCGAGAGCCTTCCCGCTGGCGAATTGCTTGCCGCAAAGCTTGCAGAACTTTGGGATCATCATCATCATCTCCATACGCATTCTTGATCTTCTTTAATTTCTTCTTCTTCTTCTTCAAATCAAAGATAGGAATAATAATGATAATGATAATAATAGTAATAAGAGTGAGCTGTGAGCAGAGGAATGAAAGCAATTGAGCTAAGAAAGTGTAGAGAGGGAGTGGGAATTGAAGCTTTAGAAGAGGAGAAGTAATTGACAAGCTTTCCCATCCTTTCAGCCACCAAAGATGCAATCTTGCCAATCTATATTTTAATACTCCTATTTAATTACTCTCTCATTTACACACAAAAATAAATCACTATTTAAATTTCATTACAACTTTAAAAATTATTGAAAAAAAATAAAAATGTACATTAGGTATTTATTTAGAAAAGAGAAAAATCTTGTGTGTAGCATCTCTTTTTAGGTGAAAATGAGGTAAGTACAAAGTTTTTTTTATGACACTACAAAAGGAAAGAATTAATATGCACGGAGTAATTTTTTTGATAAACATGTATTACCAAAAGATATAGAGTAAGTTTTAAGAAGTTACTTAAAATAGGAGCAAAACATAGATCTTATCTTAAAATATGAACGATATGTTTTTATTTCAAAATAGGAATATTACATTGTGATAATGTGACACTAAATGTTATCATTTCATAGTGTTTTTTAATCTTATACGTTAGCATTATAGATATTATAGGTTTTGTTTAATTTTGAGAATAAAAGCACTTAGGTTTTGTTAGTTTTCTGTTTTATGTTTTAATTCTATTTCGATTCTTTTTCCTAAGTTTTTAAGAATAATTAGTGCTGGATAATATTTATCTGAATTGAATTAAAAGTAATGTATTGAATTGTAATTTTAAATTAAGCAATTAAGCAGGAGCGAGGAGTATTACACATTTTTTGTATACTATTAACCCTATTACAGTGCAACATATGTCTTTACGTACTTTTTCAATTTAATAAAGCACAAACCATCAATACTCTCACCGCGGTTCAATTATGTGACCTTCAGTTCTATTTGGGAGAGTAACGTAGTTTATGTCTTTTGAATGCAATTCTGCAGGAAAAATATTCTACAAATTCGATTATTTGGAAAGAGTCATACGTATACGGTACTGATTAAGTAATGTAAGTTATTTAGAAAGAGTCATAAAAAGAGTCACATAAAGTTATGCAATTCGACTATAATTCTATATGAAAAAATATTTTAGGAGTACAATTATTTGGAAAGAGTCACAATAGTACTTATTATGTGGTGCTCATTGCAATGTAAGGACTAAATTAAAGAAGGTGTTTGTTAGTGAGGAAAGTGCTCCGTAATAGCTTTTGATAGAAAGAGTGTAAAACAATTCTATGGTTTGGTATAGCATTTTGACCAAATTAAGAAGACGAATAGTCCAATAAGATGGTTTCTCCTAATTTTTAGATGGAAACTGCATGATTTTGGATATAGTTCAAGAAAGAAACTTATAGGGGAGAAAGAGTTACTATAGTACACACTACATTTCAGTTTTAATTATTTGTTTCTTATTTACATAGTCAAAATTTTAACCACGTCCTTGACCCACTTTTACTACGTATTTGAAAACTAACATAATCTTGTCGCATCTTATTTTGTAAAACTTTAAATGTAGTTTTTAAATATATAAATTTAATTTTTTTTAATTGTTTACTAATTTTTAAATAAATTTAGCCAAAACTCATAAACAACAAATAACTCTTTTTGGGGCGGAGAGAGTATATATAAATCACGAGGAATAGTAGACTTACTGACTTACACGATTCCAAATTGGGTAACTTCGTGACACATGCAATTTTAATTCGGGCACCTGCAATGCTCATTTCAAAAAATAAGTGATTCTTACTTCTCATAATTTCCCCATAAACCCCCAGCCCCTACCCCTGCAATTGCACTACTTAAGTTTGTTTACGTTATATTTTGGTTAAAATTTTGACTTTGGAAAGTCAATAAAACTAATGGGGGTGCAATTGCTAAAAATGATGACACATGCGTTTTGTGTGTGTCCATTCACAATATATTTGTGATTGCATTAAACGTAATTTAGCTAGGAAAACAGTACACTATTGCATAGAAACGTGGGAAAATTTATATGGATGGATGATCATTTTACTTTTTATAACAAGTTTCATTTTGGTCACTTTTAAAAAAATGTTTCAATTTGGTCACCATTTTGATTTCATTCACTTAATTTAATTTGGTCATCTAAATATGATTTGGGTAAATTTATACTCTAAAAACGATAAAGGAAGAACATATGTCCATTTTATACCTATTTATTTATTTAAATAAAATGTACAGAATTTAATATTATTTATTGACTAAAAAAGGTTCTATATAACTACTCCGTACTAGTTTTTTAATTGTGTCAATATGTTTTTGAAATTGTTTTTTTAATTTAAATTTCTCCCTTTACATAGATATGTTTTTTTTTCATTCACTCTCTAGAGCTGTTTACTCAAGCTCATAAAACTCGGACACAAATGAGTACAACATTAACAAGTTGCATACTCCACTCGTGCCATAAAAAGGTCCACATTTCATATTTTGATAATTCTAGATACAACAAGTTTTTGTTAATAAAAAAAAATAACTATGGCTCATTTTATTTATCTCTTCTATGCACTACTTCGAAGTATGAACGAAACATTATTTTGTAAAAGTAAAAAGGGAGACTATGTTTTGTAATAAAAATAGTCAATGAGAATGATAGATTATAAGTGCTAGATTTCCTTTTCCACTAACAAGGAGTGTAAATTAAAGTCAAAATTTGATAATAATCAACCGTTAATTGCTCAAATACGTCCCAAAAAAGTACTCTAATTGTTAGCGTTTCAATATTTACGGTTAATTTTGTCTTGCTAGGTCTAGAATGATACTCAGTAATATTTTACGAATACAAAAATAAATAAATAAGTATTAAAAATATTATCCAAAACTCAAACGTCAATTGAAAAAATTATTTAAAAAAATTGAAAAAATTATTTCCAAAATAAGGTCTAAGTAAGGAGAGATTTCTCCAAATCGTAATCATTGTGATAATGATCAAAAACTTCATTTCCTTTAGCCCAAAGAACAAAGTAGAGGCCGGTGAACATGAGAAACATGCCTGCAAGGCTTAAAAAAACAAAAATGAGTAATTAGTTTTGGGTAAATGAAATGAAATCAAACACACTTTCTTTTCCTATTAAATATCAACCGCTCTTTATTTGTGATGTGTTAACTTTGAAATGATGATTTAATGAAAATTACTCCATCTGTCTGAATTTTCATTTTACAATGTTACCGAAATTATTTTCAAGACAACTTATTTGAGAATTGAGATGAAATAAAAAATAAATTTACATATTTAAAAAATTTATCAAAAGTTCTACGAAATAAGATGTGACATGAATGTATTATTTTATCAAATGAGTAATGAAAATATAATATAGAAGGAAAGTGAATAATATTAATTATGTTTGACCTAGTGAAAAGTAGACAAAAAACTTAAATAATTTGGGACAAACGGGTTACCATTTTAGATTTTAGAACTCATACTAATTCTTTACTTGAGATGTGTGTGTGTATGTATGTATGTATACCTTCCCAAAGTAATGGAGTCTCCTAAGGTGATGACAGAGAGTAGAATGGAAATGACAGTTCCAACAGGACCGAAAACAGCCACCATTACTGGCCCTCTTTTCTTCATCGCCCATGCATTAAAGCTTGTGGACGCCCCACTTATGCACCCCGCCTGCACTTTTTATATACATATATATATATATATATATATATACGTGCATTGCATGCATGCATGCATGGTTCAATATTTATATGTTCATATTCTTTCTATGTGTGGGTTTTTATACTCTCTCGTTTGGATTTAATCTTCTCATTTGACTTTTCTTGGTCAAAATTTGTAAGTTTTTACACCTTGATATGCGGAAAAAGTACATTGCATTTCGATATAAGTGTGATATCAATAGTTTTCCTTTGAAACGTAGTTTTGAAATATTAAAGTTTTATAAAATGTATTTATGCATAAATATCGACATGAATGAAGTGAAAGTAGTGTTAAATTAAAGAGAGTAAAAAACGAAATGAGAAGATTAAATCTAGATGGAGGGAGTATATGGCTTAAGTATCATACATACCAATAATGAAAAACCGAGGAGGTTTTGGATGTTGGTCTTTGACAAACCAATCTCTACTCTGTGCTCTTGAATGAGCTGGACGATTACGGTGAACAACATCCCCATCAACGATGTAATTGCGGATATTGTGATTGGTGAAGGGAAATCTCCCAATGTTGCAGCCTGCATGCAGACGTTATTGCGAATCCATTCAAACTCTACGTCCTTTAGTTTAATTAATTAACCAACTCAACCAAAAAGCTCATATTGAACTTTTGGTAATTAAGCTAGGGTTTTCATGTGCCCGTACGTGCATGCATACCTGCAAGACGATAACGCTTGATAATGTGAAAACACCGGTGATCAGGTAGACGGAGCCAGTGATCTTTGCAAAGTTGTCGCATGATGGCATCGAAAAGTGAGATTGCATGTTCGATGATGATGATGATGATGATGAAGTTAGAATGTGGTGATGATCATAGTCTCCTTGCATGAGAGTCATGAGTGCAGCTCCCATGACACAAAATATTGTGCCTGCAATTTTGGCTCTGCTATACATGCTGCTCAAATGCACCTTCTCCAGTCTGCATGAGATTAATTTCGCACGTCGAAACTTTGAAAAGAAGAAAAAAATAATGAGTATATATATAAGCTCTTGAGTTGAATAGATACAGATACCTGAAAGCCCATGCGAGGAAAAATATGAGTCCCGGGGCGAGATTGGGCATAGCAGTGGCAATTGCAGGTGAGGTGAGATGAATTCCTTTCATTTGGAGTGATTGGAACAATGTCACCCTGCAACAATTAAATTAATTAAATGTACACATGCACCAAGATATGATATATGGGCTATAATTCATTTAATTTTTCTAATATAATTTGCTTGATTTTATTAAAACATTTTTTATAAAGAAATACTATGGATGAGTAGTATTCTTATTATACATTACCCCCCAAAAGAGATCAAGAGAAGCTGAATCCATAGTTTCATGCTCAGCCTTTTAGGCCATTGGTGCCTGCAGGAACATGAACAACAATAACTTCATCCGAGAAACGTTTTCTGAGAAATTTCAGAAAACGTTTCCTAAAAAACAAAAAAAATGAAACGGGGACAATGGCGGAGGCAATGAATGCGGTAGCTAGCTAGGGCACTGGGCACGTGCCCCCGGAGGACATAAGCGTCCGCCTCACGATTTCTGTGAGGCGGTATACGGTGCCTCGAGAACGCAATTCTGCCTCCGCCACCGGATATATACATACATACATACATACATACATACATATATATATATATATATATATGTATGTCTGTGTGTGTGTGTGTGTATATATATATATATATATATATATATATAAAATGTCAAAATACCTTTCAAGAAGGAAGGAGAGGGGGGCAAGAACAAGAAAAGTGGCAAAAGTGGACAAGATGATTAGAGAAGAAGGCTGAAACCCTAAGAGCATCAAATAACTCTGCACCACAGAGTTCCCTGCATAAAGAAACTGCACCCCTATCAACCCTCCCACCATTATCATCTCTTCCACTGCTTCTCTATTTGGAATTCCCATCTTTTTTTTTCATTCATTCACTCATTCATTCATTCATTCATCAAATGAGTTAATATTCTTCTTCAAATTTTAAATTTTGATTTTTTTAAAAAATAAAAATATGTATTGAATTTTTGTTTGTAAAATATAAGAATCTCTTCGTGCATGTGTTTCAATATATCATCATGCATGAACCAGATTAAGAATTTTTTTTTTTTTTGCTTAATAAATTAAACATGAGATTCTTTCTCCGTGTTTTTCTTTGTTGGCCTAATATGTAGGCCAATCACTAGATAATGGTGCAGGGAAATTAATATACTCTATTGATTTCTCAGCAAAACCCAAAGTTTTTCTTGGGGGGTTAAAAGTTTGGCAGTGGAATGCAAAAATTTGGGAAAATATTAGATTCCTCACAAAAAGAAAGTTTTCAACTTTCTTTCTTCTTTTTTTTTCTTTTTTACTTGGATGGTAATCCTTTGCATTCTATTACTACCGTGGGAATGAAGGGCTTAGAGTGCATGCCTTGAAAATTTACCTTGTTCATTCGAATAATCAATTTTTTACCTTGTTTTATGGTTGGTACTAAAAAAAACTCTATTCTAAACACATTTCTTCAATTTAGAAAAAAAAAAAAATATAGCCAACTTTCATTTGATTTAATGTTCAAAAAATTTTAAACGAATTAAGTACTCCGTACGTTATTAAGTGTAAAAATAAAAAATATTACTCTGGTAGTAGGAACGGTAAGGTGATTTGACACGTTTTTAGATCTCAAATCATACTTAGATGAATTGAAACACCAATTTAACTTCATGTTCACTATTCACATGATTTAACTCTAACCATTTTATCAATTTTTGATACCAATTTGATAAAATAATAGTCATACCTCTATTGATTCAATTTTGAAATATACATAATATGGAGTATAATTCTTATTATTTTAATTTTACACCAATTTAAAAATATATTGAATTGAAATATTTTCAATCAAACATTTTAAACCAAAACAAAATGGGGACTGAATGCAATTTTTTTTTTTTTTGAACGGAGGGGAAAAAAGAAACATCAAATACAAACACTGGCATAGGCAGGCACCAATGTTTTGAGATGTGGAAAAGAACAGAGAGTATGGTCAGGCACAATCTTGAATATAAAAATCAATGTGTATAATGCAATATCCAAACAACACTCACTACCCTGGCTACATAGAGGAGGGGGGAGGGGGGGATCATTCTTTAGGTGTTCAACAAGTTATTGTTGCAGAATATTGCTGCAGTGATGACAAGCTCCATTTTCTTTCACAAGAAGTCGTCACCTTGGCACCGAAAGACCAAACTCTAGTTGAACAAACAAAAAAATTCACATCAGAAAACCATCCGATACAAGTGGGGGAGGGTGGGGTTATGGTATTATAGGATGGAAAGAAAGTTCACTTCATGCCGCAGAGAAAATAACTCAAATCTTTATATATTATGTTGTTCAGTGTTGACAAATAGGATTCCAAGTACAAAAACCATTTCTTCAGAGCTAAACTAAATCGAGCAATGCAGGGAAACTACTCTTATAATTTCCTCGAGGTTAAGATACATTCAAGTAGAGAGATGATCCACCAGAAACAGCAAAAATGATTCACGTTCCATCAATTTCATCTGGGAAAAGGAGAACTTTTTGTTACCAAACTATGCTTGTCAAACTAAATCAAAATCAGTTAAAATACATGCATGAAATCAGTAAACATCTGCTATGGATACAAGCAAGATTTAAAGTGAAACTGTGTATTAAACTTTATTCATCCCTCAAAAGAGTAAACTTTGTGTTTTACATCCAAAAGAATAGTACAAACTTGTAACTTAAGACAGATAATGAATGACCAAACTAAAGTACAATTAGCATGTAGAACGGGGTAGAAGATATACTAAACGCCTACAAAAACAGATACATTTCATTTAGGATGCTAACAAGCTTTCAAACTTCTGAATAAGACACTGAAGCATTTTTTGAGGATCTCTAATTGTCCCAGTATATTCTTTCATTCTTTTGGAAACTCATGTGCCTGCAGGAACCAAATATTCCAATCAGAATACCAGATAGCTCACCACTCTCACTCAAAAAAAATGCAGGGCAATTTTTTATTTAATCAAAGTGGTTCTTGAATATACTTGGTAACAATAATTTTGTAGTGATGAGAACTAAAGAGTTCTATCTTATTATATGGGTTCAAAATAGCAAAGATGTTACATAAACCGCTAAAGTTGGCAACAAAGCCATTTTAGAACACAATCGAATAAGTCAATTATGGTCACTTCTAACCTCAGCCACATAAATGGCTCCTTGCTGTATGGTTTCACCAAGGAGCAACTTTTTAGTTTTGAGCAAGGCACAACCACTACAAAACATGAAAATTAGCTAGTTTTAATGAGAAAGGACTCTTTTTTTAAGAAAAAGAGTATCAGACTCTTTTTATGGAGCAAAGAGATTATCATAGAAGAAACAGTGAAATGTTTTCCATGTGAACTCAGATGTTACCATACTCATAAAAGACCTACCTCAATATCACGAATATTTTCATGACAACAAACTATGACATGTATCATGTTCACAAACACATTGTACAAGTTCTCAATTCAGTAAATAATTTTTACTACCGAACGGCTACTAACCTGACAGTTTTTATTGAAAAAACAACTTTTGTAGAAGAGAGAATATCATAGAAGAAACATTTAAGCATTTTCTATAGGAACTCAGATGTTACCATACTGACACAAGGCCACAATCTTAGGAAAATTTTCATAACACACAACTATGACATGCATCATGTTCGCAAACACATTGTAAAGTTGTCAACTCAGAAAACAAAATTTTACTACCAAAAGACTACTAAGCGGGCAGTTTTAATTAGAAAAAAAACCAAATTTCATTTTCTCAAATTGTGAAAAGCAAAAGCTCACTTTCCCAGAGATAGACTCTAGAGATACAAACATAGCAAAGGCAGAAAGGCAGGATTTTTATAATAAAAAAATCCATGATTAAAAAAGAACATACTTTCTTTTGTAATTTGGGAGTAATAAAAGACATGCTAGAGGCCTGGAGAAGTGCAGCAGAGAGTACCCTGTGAAAGAGCCCTAGAATCCCGAGACGTTGAGCTGAGGCATGACGTCATCCTCGCCGTAGCAACGGCGCTGTGCAGCGGCAGCATCGATGCGGCGCATCCCAACTCCGACGGGCACCTATCATTCATCAATTCTTCACCGATCCATACAAAGCATTCATCAACTAATTCTACAACACATTAACATATAAGCGGAGAATATACCTAGAGAAGGAGAATGGTCGAAGCGGGGAGGAAGCGGATCTGGACGGGAGGGAGGAGGCGTGGAACGACGACGTCTTGGCCGATTGGAATTTGGGCTTAATCGCAGATCTGACAGACGAAAGAGAAGCTCGATTGATGATTCTGCTGCATCTGGAAGCCATTTTCGAGCAATCTGCAGAAGCTGAAATTGGAAGATTTGGATGTATTGAAGACGACGATGACGATGATGGGAGATCGAGGCTTATTTACTAGGGTTTAGGGTTTTACTTCAAAGAAGAGGCCCGTTTGGTTATTTCTTTGCTCAAAAGTGAATTTTCAATAGTTTCTATGTTTAATTATTTTAATAGATTTCAAGTATTTTAAAATTTATTTTTTTCAAAAAATAAACAATTTCATACGCTAGCATTAATTTAAAAATGTAGTTTCCAAATAAAGCTTTAATTACTATATGCATTTATGCGGATGAGCAAAAAAAGGTTTTGAACCCATTTGAAAAATGAGAAAGAGATTAAAGAAACTTGTTTATAATTCCATAGTTCTTAATATTTGAAATTTCTGAACCGATTAAAGAGAAAAATGAAGGATTCCACAATTAGATCCGATTTCTGATTTGGAGAATCAATTAAAGGTTCATTGGAATTTTTAGTAAATAAAACAATATATATTCTTCGTCTCTAAATTGATTGCATGGAAGCAAAAACAAAGAAAAAATCTATATTTTTTAATTAAATCTTCTTAAATAAAAATTAATATAAAAATAAAAACAAAAATTTGCACATTTAAAAAATAAAATTTGCATATTTATAACCGTAATATAAGTTTTCCTCTTGTAATTTTTTCTTTTGAAATAAAATATGGAGCATTCATCTTTATTAGATTGTATAAAAGGTCAATATAAAATTACTTCTAAATTACAAACAAAAGATTATAATGTACGAAATACATTGGATGATTGGTTAACCGAAGCAGAATTAACTGAACTAAAAAAATGATTAATGAACTTTTTCAGATTCATTTGGATTCACCATTTTTTGGTCAACCAAATTTTTTATTAACCAAAGGTTGGTTAATTAATAGTATTTCCGACACGAATTTGATTGACAATATTGCCGAATCAAAATACACAAAATCTGGTTAACGAGATATCGTAACTGATTTTGATAAGAAGAAGCAACAGATCCACATTTAGCTTTAAATAATTGGGCACATTAGCCTTATTATATGATCATCAAGTGTAATTGAACAAATATTACTCCCGTCCTCAAAAAAATGATACAGTTTCCTATATAAAAATTACAGAAACTTTTATTTATTTATATGTTTTTATAATTACACCCTCTATTTAAAAATTGACTTCACATTTACTATTTACAAAGTCAAAATTTATTCACTTTACTGGTCTATTTCATTGCCGTCTTGATAAAATAATATAGTCATATCACCTCTAATTTTATAAATCTTTTGATGTAATTTATCAGAAAAGAATATGTAATTTTTATTTTTAAATTTCACACAATTTTTCATATAAAATGATTTAAAAATAATTTCAATCAAACATCGTAATGCACAACAAGAAGATAATTTTTAGACGGTAGAAGTATTGGATAAAATAAAATATTCTTGTGAACTCTTATTTTAAAAGACTTTTGACATAGTTATTAAGTGTAAATTTTATTTTGTATTTCTATACTAATCTTTGAATAAAATAAATTGGAAAAAATTAAAATTTTGCTGCGCTTTGCTTAATGTTGCAAATATTTTGGGACAAAAGGAGTACATTATAGATTCAATAGTGCCAAAAAATTACAGTACTAAGGTCATGCTTTCTTTATCTGATCTAATTGGTTTTGATCTGATGAAAATAAATTCTGGCTGTTGATCTGAATATAGTTATATTTAAAACTATATTTATGAAGAAAGCTCTCATTTTGATGTGGGAATTTATGTCTTGAGGACAAGTTTGAGTGGTAAAACTTGAGTTGCCCTTACATTATCACATCAAATAAAGAACAGCATAAAAGGTCTATACGTAAGTAAATTCTTCTGTTTTCCGAGTTTGGCCCTCTAACTAATTGAAACCAAATTTGAATGGATAAATCCATTTTATCACCAAAACCTGACTTCAAAATCTGACGTCATGTGTTTCATAGACATGCATAGACTATTTGCGCGACCACGATAATGATTGTCTACACATATTTAGTTCCAATCTAGATGGTTTGTTAGATTTGGTTCCACCCGATGGAGCTAAATAAACATTATAGTAGAAAATAACCCAAACAAAAATTAAAATCGTCAATCCTAGAACCAAAATAACCCGACCGACGGGTAGAATCAATGAAACATTAATCTAGTGAAAAATAGTGACCCTAAAAAGTAAAATTGAAAGGGGTGAATTTCGCAAAAAAAAGGAGGAAAAAAGGAAGACAAGTGATAACCACCAAAGTACAAGAATGCACCAATTTCCTCCATAAACAAAACTATAGAGGGAGTGGTGCATTCTACAACTAATGCACCAACCAACCAAGTGAGAACTTTTTCACATTGACAATTTTAACCCGCTCTACAATGATAAATAAATAAAAATATACAAAAACTGCTCTATGCTATGCTAGAGAGAATCACAGTTTAGCATATTGGTTATTATTAGTTTTACATTCTAAAACGCCCCCTATTAGCCATGGTGATGGCTATTTACCTGTCAACGAAACCATATATTATGATTACTTCATTACCTCATAAGACAATGAAAGAAGAAGAAGTCTTGCTCTTAGGACTAGAGTGGAGGATGTTGAATGAACCTGATAAGACCAGTTATTTGTTTTTAACCTTTGGATGTAGGACCCCTATTGTGGCTTTTGACAACTTTGTCATGTGAAACAGAAGGGAGCTTTGGGAGGATCAGTGAGCTCTGCAAGCCTTCCAATAACTGCAAATCAGTAAGTTAATAAATGTCACCAATAAAAAAGTGGAAAGAAACAAAAAAAAATACCAAATGGCCAAATTTCGATTCATTATCGATTCATACAGTACATTACAACATTCTGCTTAAGAATAAAGAAGGTCAGGGGAGGGTGTGTAAAACAGCTTAAAGTAAGCCCAGCTTCATGTGGCAAGAACAAATAATCAAAGCACTGCAGATTTCAATGTAAAACACACACAAACGCACACACACACACAGATACGGAGTATAATAAAGAAAATGCTACCCGCTCCGTCCCTCCTCATTATTGTACATTTTTAAAACTGGATAAGGCATGGCCATTAATTAATTACGAACATCTTTCAAACTTATTTGTTGATTTTACAAAGTATATTATATGCGACTCCAGTACATGTTTTAACTAATTTAAGGCAATGAACTGACACTATAAACGCATACTCACCCTTGATGTTGGCTGAATCTTGCGGTTCGACCGGCGCGGTTCATTGATTTCAGAAGCTGCTGTGTTGCTCACCATTTCTTGTTTTGCTGACTTCCCACCGACAGTGGCAGAGTTTCCCCCGTTCGTCCGTTCAGATCTGTTCCTTAATCTTGAACCCTTTTTGGCAACAGGTTCAGCAGGAAAAGCCTTTGACTCAGCTACCTCTTCAGCACTGGGGCCAAATTTAACTGAACCTGAGTGACCTGAATCACTCATCTCGTGACTGGCATCACCAGAGGTCGTTGGAGTTGACCTCAAAAAGTTATCTTTCAAGATCTTGCTTGAAGTAGTGGGTGGTTTCCTAGATCTAAGCGGAGGCTTGGATTTTGATTCAGCCATGAACTTCTTCTCCTTTGGATCATCCATTTTGGAACTATTTCTCCATCCCCCAAAGCCTGATCTCGCTGGAATCCCATATTTTGCTGAATCATTTGTTGAACTGGCAATGGTGGTCTTAACACCCCCCCTGTTTGAATCATAATGTTTGCTTACGTCCATGAACTTCCTCTTTTTTCCAGGTGAAGGAACACCGAAAACTACTTTTGACCGTTGTTTTTGTAGTAACCCAGACCTCATCGTCCTGTGTGGGGCAGGTTTGGGCTTGCTATTTTCATTCCTCAGGCTACCAATATTAAATTTTCTTTCTTCCTCACTTAAAGGGATCAATTTCGGTTCTTCTTCAATTGTATCTAATTCTGGCATATCAATATTTGTGGTGACATTCGCCTTTTCCCTGCTCTCCTCGCTAGTAGCATTTCCCAACTTCATTCTCTTCTCCTTTGGGGTATCGCCCTACAAAACATATCCATCAAATACATAAAATTACTCCCTCTGTTCCTTAAAAAACAAATGGAGAATCTAAATTTTGTGGGCAGAATATGTTTAAAGTTCACATTTGTATGATACTCACCTGAGAAGACTGCTCTTTTCGAGTGAACCACTCAATCCACTCGCCATCCTTCCAAACGAGTCTAGGGCGAAGATTCCACACTCTAACGACAACATTATCTCCGCGAGCTGAAAAGAGCTCTTTTTCAGCAATCGTGCTTGAGGCTTATTTCTGTTGGAAAAATGTGTGTGTGTGTGACATACCTGGAAAATTGACAGTGAATGTAGTTTCATCCTTTTTGTTCTTCTCAATAATGATTCCTTCTCGCCAGCTTCAAATAAGTAGGCATTAGAATTGACCATAAAATTGACAAGGACAAAACCAAACATCAATTTTAGTCTGTTTCATGAAAAAAGAGTCCTCTTTCACAAGTCTCGACATGTTTTTATCACATAAAAGGGTCAAACTTAAAAGAAAATATGTCAGTTTTCACTCTATCAAATGCTTTTAAATATTTAAAAAATTGCAAAAAATAAGGTATCTTAGATTTACTTAAACTAACAAATAAATTTGAAAACATATCTATATTTGATGTATTTGTGTTTGGCACATGTCATAAGAAAATAAAGGAAATAATTGTTATATTACAACTTTAGCAAATGAAGAATAAGAAAAGCAATATGAACCCCACAAAATAACTGAGGAAAAGGATAGAGAGAAGAATAAAGTAAGAAAGGGAAAAGTTAGCAGAGAAATTCAAAAAGTGATAATTTTGGAACATACTAAAAAAAGAGTGTGTATCTAACAAATGGGACAGAAGGACTTGTAAACAAGGATAGCTTAATCATAAATCAGCTCTATCTAGCGAACCTTTGCATTATTCTTTCCTCATCATGATAAGCACAGTCTATGAAAGGTGGAAGTGATTATAACCAAAAACAAAATTCAAACCGTTGAAATGTGACTGAAGCGTATATGCACATAGATTGATATATACCAGTCATGGATCCAAGCATCAACTTGATCGCCAACAGACCAGGAATAGTCCCTAACTTCTGCTCGTCTTCTCTTCCGGGCGCCTTCAGAGTGCACAGCGGTCATAGTTTGTGCAAGACGTATTCTGGGCACCTCATCACCATCTGTACATAAAGGTATCCAATCGTTCGGGTGTCTTAAACCTGAACATCATCCCCAAAAAAATGCATATATGACAACCCATAACTCAAAACTGGAAATTATCCAAACTAAGGGCCAATGACTAAAAAGCATGTGAATTGAAAACCACACACATCCTGCCCCAACAACAAACCAACAATTAATCACATCACATTCTCTTGGTCAAGCCAAAAACACAAGTCACTCGATCCTGATGTAAAATTTAGGGTTATGAATCTCCAGTTTAATATAATATATCAAACACAGGCGATGATTCTTACCTTTGCCCAATGGGAGTTCGGTGTAAGAGACAAAAGCCTTGCCATCCTTCAAGCTTAACACATTGGCCATGAACCAGGCATCACCACTATCCCTAAAAACCTACATTTGGAGAGAGAAAAAAAGGTGCACAAGCCATCAGCACGGTAGTTTCTCAGCACTACAAAAATATTGACTTGTAGAATCAATGCTTTCAATCAATAAACCTCAACAAGACAGCCTTCTTTGATGTCTTCTCCACTCTTTGAACTTATGCCTTTTCCATGGTCCTCTTGAATGGAATTTAACCTTGACTCCACTTCTGGCATGGGAACCTTGTTCCCACTCATATCCTTTTCAGAGCATCCCTTTGATGGCGATATATCATCCTCTACCTCAACATTTCCTTTCATTGTATTAGTAGAACCTTCTTCTACCCCAATACTTACTTCCACTGGTACTGACAATGGGCCCATCGTCAGGGCCTGTAATGCCTTCCTAGGACCCTCGGCTTTCTCTAGGAAACCGTCGGATGACTTTTCAAATCCATCAAAAACAGATTTCCCATTATTTGATTTCACACAATGCTCTCCAGGTGCTTTGGGAACTTTCCAGTAACCATCAGGACCTGCTTCAACTAACTCACTTAACGTCAAAGGGTCCCCCATTGAGACAACTTTTCCAGCATGTGATACAGCCTCAGCTGCTAATTCAGCAGCCTTCACTATTGAATCTAAATTTTCAGCATGCCTTGAGGCAGCAGAGGCAACCTCGATTCTTCTCCTAGCTGCCTCTCTGGCAGCAAAAATAACTGAGCCAGAACAATTGGGTCCACCCCCACCCTTCAAAATGGAAGCAGGGGTCGCACTTCCCATGCTTTTTAAAAAGTCAGAGTGAGCATCTATCATGCTTTCGGGGCAGGCACTTGTGGATGACGACAATGCCTCATCAGCCATCAGCCAAGCCTGTGAAGCGGCATTTGATGCAATTTTAGCTGCTGCTGCTGCTGCTCTAGCAACAGAAGCAGCAGCTGCTATAGTAGCAGCAGCAGACGCCAGCTTGGTCTCAAGGTCAGACATCAGTCCGGAGTTCTTTTGCTTTTCCAACTCACTCCATATACCTTGGCAGTGACCAAGTGCAGCAGCTGCATGTTCAGCAGCTTCGTCTGAATGTAGCTTCACATCTTCTATGCTGTTTAAATCCAGTGGGGTTAGTTTCGCTTTCTCCAAATTGTTATCTTCTCTTTCATAGTGGTGGGAAGATATAGAAGGAGAAACAAGATTGGACTTGCTTTTGGACACAAAGCTAGGAGTGATTACAGCTACCGGCGAAGAAAAACGATTGCTAGCAATGGTAGTCATCAATGTTGCTGTCTGGCTTCCAGCTATCAATGAGGTATCTCCAACACATTCAGACGAATGAGGTACTTTTGACAAATTGCAATTAATACTGGGGGCAGGAACTGGTTCAGCTGGTAAAATTGACAGTGAGGTCTGTCGGGGAACCTCAGTACAGGATATCTTTTTTCTCTTTTTAGATCTTTGTTCGGTAGACTGTTGGGCCGAAAGGTCTACAAGAACCCCAGAAGGCAGCATACAAGGGGCCACAGAACTTGGTGGTGCATACTTTGTCCCACAAGATAAACCAGATGATTCTTGGGAAGGAATCAAATTCACAGGGTCCGCAATGGGAATTACAGGGATGTGCGTCATGCTATTATTAAAAGCAGAAGTTTGTGTAGATGCAACCCAGGGTGCAGGTAAAGGAGTCTGTGATAACCAAGAACAATTTTGCCCTATGAAATTCCGCATGGGTGGAGTTTGATAGGGGTGCAAAGGAGAAACTGCCTGATACTCCACAAATGCTCCTTTTGTCATACTACTGGGTGGAAGACCATCACATGAAGGAGAAGCTATGCTCCATAGAGGTGTTGAAAGAGGTATCATAGGAGAAATGATAGGAATAGAAGTACCCCTGCTAATGCTTGGTCGAGGAGCTGTTGTGGAAATAGATTTGCTATGGTGTGAAACAGGTTTGCGTGCTTGATCCGGTGTTTTTAGGCCTACATTTCTCAACATTAGAACACGATAACTGCAAAAGAATAAAAGATGATGCCTTCCTGAAAAACCTTTGGTTACCTGAACCAGGTTCACCAGCCCCTTCAGAGCCAATGATGGGAGATTTCTGTCCATGAAGCCTTTCTACACAAGAACGCCATGCAGGCTCCCAAACGCCCCTGCCTCCTTCTGGAAAAGAAATACATTGAAAAGTTGAAAATATTTGACATTTATCTTGGGAAAAAGAGGGTACAATCAATTGACTAACCAGAGGTACCAAATGCTGAAACCATGATGGCTTCATCAGGTGCTGAACCTTGACTGCAATAACAATCATTCAAAATTACTATAGAAAAAAGAACTCCATACTACAGGCATATGAAAATCATGATTATATTTAAATGCATGAAAAACTTAGTAATCTTCCTCATAAGATCATTGGTATCATATTTCAGAGTTAATATGATCTCGACCATCAACAAAAACAAACCCTGAATCCACTAAAAGTAGGGTCTGAGGAAAATGTGTGAGAGCAGTCTTACACATACTCAAAAATAGAAAAGCTGTTTCAATATGCTCGCTACCATCAAACACAAATCCACTTTGATCCAACAAGTGGGGTCTGGGGAGGGTAGGATTACCTTACCTCTGATAGGAAAAGGTTGAGAGGGTGTTAAAAAAAGACCCCGGCTCAAAATGAATATAATCAAAGTAAGCCACATAAGAGTCTTTAAATTGAAAATCTCATTTTATTCTGAAAAAATGAATAAAGTGAGACATCAAAGAATTGCAACTAATTGTTTCCAAGCAATGGAGAGCTATTACAGTAAAAGATGTACTAAAAAAGGTTGTAAACACAAAATTAAAAACAAACAACTCACAAAATTGAAATTTTCAAGCCTTATAAGGATAAATACTTTTAAATATTATATGCTACTAGGTTACCTGACAACATACTAGAAATAAAGACTCACATTAAGGATCCATAAACGAAGATTTGGGCCCGTAATTGCACTTGTTGTAAATCAGTAAAAGGCTGTTGAAATGATATGGGTGAGGCAGAAGAGTTGAGATCTGGAAGAATGGATATTGAATTACAAACATTGCTTGTCTTTGTGCCAATGCGCTGAACACTTCCAGCATCAAATTGCACTAATTGCGCAGCAACAGAGGAGCCTAACTCTACACATGAACTGTCCACTCTATCAGAGAATTTGACAGGGCTTTCCTTCACTCGATTCCCTTTCCTACTACTTTCTCTTCCTAGCTTACCTGAACGTCGCCTTACTTTTTGCTCAGAGCTACCTTTTGCTCCAACAGATGGTGTTGCCATGTTAATAGGTTGTGATGTTTCCTGCACATACTTAGTATCAATTGTGCTACTAAAAACAGCAACAGAGATCCCTTCCCTTCATCCCAAACCTCTATAAGAAGAAAAAGCTGGAATATATGAGAAAATAAAAACCCATCCCAGAGATGAATGAAACGCGTAAAAAGATACTCCCTACGTCCAAAAATTATCTTCTCATTAAAATAGAACAAAGATTAAGACAACAACAAGAACAACAACAACATTACCCCAATGCCTCAACCGCTTCCGCCCATTGCAGGGTAAGGGGGGTCGGATGTACGTAGTCTGATCCCTATGTTTAAAACATAGAGCGGCTGTTTCCAGATGACGCATGATAAGCGTCGAAAGTTGCATTGACTAACAGCAACTTCACAAATGCAAGAAGTGCAACCATCATACCCAAAGCCAAAAAAATAGTGAATCTTTGGCTCCACAGGGGAATGGAAATAGCACAAAGATTAAGAGTGAAAAGAAAATTATATAGATGCTCATATATGCTTTTTGGGGTTTGGTAAAAGTGAAGTGGAAGGTAGAAAATATGCAGATTGTTGAGGGTAAAGGTGATTTTTACTTAAAAGAAGTAAAAGATGCATGGCGAAAGGAAATAGTAAGTTGGTTTTGAGACAACCAAAAAAAGGGAAGTGGGAGATTAATTCTGGGATGAAGAGAGTATTAGACTCAAATAATTTACATCTTAATTTTAAAACATCTAAATTGGTTTTAACTTTTAAAAAATAAAATTTGTAAATTTTAAACTACAAAAAATGCCTACTAACCAAACAGAGAATTGTCAAAAAAAAGAGTGCAAAAGGGAGAAAGGTGGTTCAAACAGTTCAAACAATTTTCTGGAAGAGTAGCAGACTATTAGATGATTAGCAATTTAGAATACAACAACAACCCTCCCACAAAAGTAGGGTCAGTGAGGGTGAGTGTATGCAAACTTTACCCCTACTTGAAAGTAGAGATGTTTCCAAAGAGACCCCGGCTCAAGCACCATAGGTAATCACCCATGACAAGCATCTCAAGTTGTGTCGACTAACTACTACTTCACAATTAAAAGAAGCGCAGACAATTTAAAGAGCCATTTTGCTTTATTCCATCATGCCCCAACGCCAAAAAGTAGTGAATCTTTGGCGCCATTGGAGATGATGGAAATACGATTAGCAATTTAGAATAAAATACTTCATTAAGATTACTTTATGCATAAATACACACCATCTTGATTTCAGGGGTTTTGCTACTGGGATATGATTGCAAGTCCTTGCCCATCTCTTTCTTAGATGAGTCCACACTAAAATCCAAGCACATTGACTGCACTTTAGCACCAAAATCATTTGTACCCTCGGGAGATGGAACACTCTCTGCAGCATCATTATTGCCAACCTCTTGCTTTTTCCTCTTGCTTAGCACAACCTGAATGCACGTTGTGACAGCAGTAGAACACAATTCAGGTGCACCCTGCTCCTTACAATCTTCTCTCCCTACACGATGCAGCTTGATCAATTTACATGTAACAATTCATACACCAATACACCACAAAAGAGACTTAAATAGTAGCCAACAACATTAGGCAACACAACAAACCAAATAACCACATCACAAGGACGCAATAAAATCATCAGAAATAGAGCATGCAGCAATCTTTTAATGCAAACTTGATCACCAAAGAGGTGCAACATAAGTGACAAAACAGGTGCAACAGAAGTAAATAAAAGATTATTATCCCAGTCTAACATCAACTCTTGGTTAACTCGATCACCTTAAATGATTTTAAAAGATAATGCTCTTCATAAAGTACTTCACCACTTTAAAGCATTCACTTAAGTTTTGATGAAATTAGAGTGGATTGGCCACAAATCACCCACTTTACATTCAACACACCAAATAGAAACACTGAGCCCACATATATCATTAAAACTACCCACCCACTCATTTGATATAAATATATAATCGTTTGGTCACCTCTTGTTTTGTAAAACCTTTAATGTAGTTTTTAATTATATATTTAATATTAATTTACAATGATTTTCATATAAATTGAACTGAAAATTAGTACAGCCAAGGATCATAAGTCACGTGGCTCGCAACAGGAAAGCCTTTCTAGGACAAAGAGAGTAAGAAGTATTGAGATGACATGATAAATAAGAAACTATTTGGGCATAGCCCACAACAAAAAAAGCAAATATATCAAATATAGCAAATATCTCATGACGTGCAGTATGTGTATGTGCACACATATAACTCACCTTCAGTGTTTGAAGCCTGTTTACCCTCACTCTCTGTTTCCAGATGCTTGCCAACGGTGTTGTTTGCATCATTACCCTCCTTTTCTGCTGCCGAGTCCTGCTGATAACCTTTTTGTTCCACTATAGAGATCCCTTGATTAACTTCACCAGAAACACTGGTGGACTCAGTTTTTGTTTCTGTCATTTTTTGGTCTAGGTGAACTTCACCAGAAGCACTGGCTTGGTCAGCTTTGGTCTCTGTATCAGAAGCCTCTATCATAGAATTGGAATAACTAGTTTCCAATGGTGTGCATTGGTAAACTGATTCATGCTGGTGACCTATATCTCCAGCCACATCGCAATCTGGATGAATTTCACCACAAGCACTGACTGGGTCAATTTTGGTCTCAGTATTAGCGGCCTCTATCAAAGGAACGGAACCTGTTAATGGTGTTGGCACTGATTGGTCTTTCTCAACATCAGGAACAAGACCTGGCTGGCTTGCCATATGTAAGGATGAACCTAAATCTGATAAGTTCGCTTCTGCAGCACACACAGTACCCATTTCATCCTTTGAATGTAAAGGCATCAATTCCCCCTCAACTGGCAAGGAAACCTCCTCACATTGCTTGACCGCTGCAGTTGGAATATCAGTTTTTTCAGTATTGGTCTCAGCATCAGCAGCCTCTATCATAGAAATGGAAACTGTCAATGGTGTTGACCCCGACGAGTCTTTCTCAAGACCTATCTGGCTTGCCATGTGAATAGAGGAACCTAATTCTGATAAGTTTGCTTCTTCGGGGCATATGGTGCTCATTTCTTCCTTCTTATGTAAATGCATCAATTCCTCCTGAACTGTCAACAGCACCTCCTCACATTGCTTGACCACTGCAGCAGGAACATCACTTGCTTCAGTTTTGGTCTCAGTATCAGTTGTCTCTGTCATAGGAACGGAAACTGCCAATGGTGTTGGCACCGATGGGTCATTCTCAACATCAGGAGCATGACCTAGCTGATTTGCCATAAAAAGGGATGAACCTAATTTTGATACACTTGCTTCTGCGGGGCACACAATATCCATCTCGTCCTTCCTTTCTAAGTGCATCAATTCTTCCTTAACGGGCAACGGCACCTCCTCACATTGCATGACCAACCCAGCTGGAACATCACTTACTTCAGTCATAGAAGCACTGTCCAATGTGTTGTGTGAGGGGTGGTCTACATCTCCCACCTCACTGTTTGAAGCTGCAAAACAACAAGTTAATCAATTACCTGGTCAGTGAAATAAATCAGGTATCGCATCTACTTTTCAATGTCATTGCTTAAAAGAGTACCTTGTTTATGCATCGTTGAGGTACCCAACTCTGACCCATGAGCATTCTCAATATGTTTTATACACTCTTCAGCCAAAGAAGATCCAGTCTCGACTTGGTGATAAAGTGGATTATAGTTTTCAGCATCACTGCCAACAGTAGTTGGCATCATTTCCCCTCTCTCACAGCAAGACACATCTTGATCACAGTTGTCGGCCTTAATAGGCTGCTTTGAGGACAAGGCTTCACTGCAGATCTTTTCTGGCTCATCTCTGGCATGTGAAGAGACATCATTTCCATCACAGTAATCCACTTTATATATCCTTAAGGCGTCTTTCTCACCAACCAAATTCTCACATGCAGCTACAGGTGTCTCTGCCAGACTTTCATCTGGAATACATATATCTCTTGGACTGGCAATATCACCTTCATGATCAAGATTACTTCCACTTGGGAGTTTATAGTCCGAGCTAAAATTTGCAATAGTATTACGTTCTTGTTCATTGGGACTGTTTTGTTCATATGGCTTTTTTATCAAAAAACACTCCTCCCTCTCAGGATTGGAGACGTGGTCAGCAGTATCTCTTACCTTCTCTTTGTCATGCCCATCTGATGCACAAATGCTCTTCAATGGAAGAGATTGCTCATCATGCTGCATACTATCGCCCTCAATTTGGGGCTTGCTTTCCTTAAAATCTGAAGACCCAATAATATGTGAATCGATAACTTGAGAAGGTTCAGCTGATAAGAGATTTTCATTGCATTCTTCAGGGGAGAGCAAGTCGCACTCCTCATTTTGCAGCAAATTCAAAGATTCATCTAAATTAGGAGATGTGTTTCCCTCTCCAACTTCTTCAACATATTCTGCCTCAGAAGTAACGTTGGGGATAGAATCCTTAATAATACAATCGTCACTGCGAAAATCAACCTCATTCATATCATTTTTCTTAGTATGGTCATTTGGATTTTCCAAAATCAGAGGGACACGTGGATCTTCTTTATTTTGGTTAACCAAAACTACATTGTGGGAAGCTGCGACTCCTGTGTCATTTCTATAACTATTCTCTAATTCAATAAAATGCAAGCTTTTCTCAGCAGTTAATTCTGCACCTTCCGTGCTGGCGTCAATTTCTGAAGATGGACTTGCAACTGGCGGTTTACATTTAAACTGGTCTACCTCTCCATCTGTTATCTCACAAGACCTAGAAAAATTGTCCAAAAATGGGTTTGTAATGCCCGACATAGGACCTCCAACATGGTCCATCTTATCATCCTCACGTAAGCTAGGTTCCGTATCATGGGTTACATTACCCAACTCTTTGCCACTATCTGACTCCGGGATAGTTGTGTATTGGGGAACATTATGTTCCTGACCAACCGATTTTAAAAGCATTTCAACAGATTCTGGAGATGTTACCTCATGCCATACATTATTGCGTCCAGTGATTGTGCAAGGCCCGGTAGCACTTGAACTGAACTCTACTATTCCACTGCTTCCTCGAGGAAAATCCTCAATCCACTGGTTGTCTTCCTGACAAGGAATTCCAAGAAAAACTTCGTTTTCAACTAAACTGTCAAATCTTAAATGGCCCTGGAGGCTGTCATCAAAATCAAATCTGGGAAGAGAGAAAGGGCGCAAAACAGAAGAGACTTTTGAGCTATCTTCACCAGCTAAGTGAAGATTCTTGCTTTGGTAATCATTTCCATTATAATCCATCTGTGGTCCCTGCAAGAAAAGATATATACTATGCATATGTATAAAAGAGAGGAGAACAGTCGCAACAATATTTAGATATCTCACTTAGATTCTACCCTTGAATCCTAAGAACTGCTTCTTCTTTATCGGGAATGAAACTACCTGTCTAGAAGTCAAATGTCTCTGTATAAATACACATAGTATTACTTCTGAAAACATGATATGAAGACTAACAATTAAGATAGCATTTCAGATAGACTCTAATGTTCATGCTTCAATTCAAGCTTTTAAAGTAATTATTCAAAAAAATTGCCTCGAGATGCAGTTTTTGCTATATGTGAATATGTGATTGTTGAAGAAGTTATAAGGAAGAACCAAAAACAAATCTTAAAGTGTCCATGCTTGGCAGTAACTCAAGAAGCCAACTACGATATTCAAGTGTAGAAACAAACAAAAATACCTAACACTCACTCCGTCCCTAAGTATTCGTCTAGTTTGATTTTTTTTAGTCAAACTCAATTACATTGAATTTGTGTTACATACTAATGCTATGAAATAAATTTTTGAATTTTTTTTCATGAGATAAATCTAATGAAATAATTTTTAACTAATAAACAATACAATTTTTATTTAATTGATGACCAAAGTTGTTCTAGATTGAATAAAAAAGATCAAACCGGACAAATCCTCTGGGACGAAGTAAGTATCTATATACGGACTAGGTGATTTCTTCCAGCATGCAACATTTCAAGCTTCAGCGTTTCAATTGTCAATTTCTATAAGAGAGATGTCAAGCCATTTTTTTAGTTCATTATGAAACAATGTCAATTTTTCGTGGCTTTCATTGTAGTTCAAATCAAGACCAAACTAAAGTCAATAAATTAAACCTAAATGAAAAGCCATTCAAACAATTTAACATATGAAAGTTATTCAAGTCATACATAACAAACTTCAAGAGTCACACATTCACAAAATAGTGTATATAACAAGACTTGAAACCCAAAGCATAAATCCCAAAGAAGTTTAGATAGAGAAAACTATAGAAGTCTGACGTCAAATTTAAAGATGGAATAGAATGATATGGAGAAAATACAATAAACAAGCTTGAGAAAATGATAACCGGATAGGGAACCTACTGACAAGAAATCAGGACTCCCTTCGAGATCCAGAAGATGAGCTTAGTGTCTTCAAACAATCCCCTGCTAGTTTGTGGTTTGCATAAGCCAGAGATTCGCCTGATAACGGTCAAATGGTCAAAGCCCAATGGATAAAAGTGAAACCCAAATGGTTAGAGATTTTCTAGGTAAGAAAAGGTTTAAATTATACGATACTCGTATTAGGAAACCTAGCTCTGTGCTCAACTTAGTTGGATTGAGAGAGATACTCCTCCTATCAAAACTCACAAGCAACACCATAATTCGCCATAATCAAAGAAAATAAACAAAGCCCCCTAATAAGTAATAACTCACCTATCACTCAAAAATTAACTTCACTCGCTCTGTCCATAAGCCTAAAGAGGGGAATGGTTTCCAAATTCGTCATTAAACTGTAAACTTATAAATCTTTTTAACAAAAAATGCAGAAGCTTCTGATCTTGTTCCCTTCAATTTTAGCAAAATATCTATCAAACATAAAAGTTCATCCAACCCAAATCATCCTAACGTGCCCTGAGATATATGGAAAGAGCGCTTGGAGATACATATAAAAACAAAAATGAAACTCAGAGGAAGCATTAAATGCCCACGACGATTATTACACTAAATTCAAAAACCAGTTAAAACGATCACTCGAAAATGTAGAGCACCAGAAGAAGTAAGCCCAGGGACGCTACCTCCCCCCATTCGAAGACGGAGTACCCGCAATTTCTCAACTCCGGGTCGACGGAAAGGCCACCGGATTGATCTTAGCAACACCACCACCAAGCTAGGGTTTTCGGTACCGGGCAAACCCTAGATCGCTGAGCGCACCAGAGGAGATCAAATTGCGCGTGTCGCCTGAGAGAATATCCTTCTAGCCCGAAGAGCAGAAGATATATGGAAGGAAATGGGGAAAAGACAAGAGCGGGCCGGGAATATATATATCAGAGAAAGTGAGCGCCTGGAACAGAGTGGGGGATGATGGAGAGAGAGAGTGGTGTTTATTGTGAAATAGCGACCAGATGCCAATGGTCGTCGTCCTTTTTAACATTAATGACACTCCGTCAATGGTAAAATATAAATTTGAATTTGATTTCTGAGAATAATGATAGTGCCTAGATGAGTTTTTGGCCATTCGGGGTAGGGCTGGGTCGGGAAAACCAAAAATTGAAAACCGAACTGAAATCGACCGAAATGAGCTAGAGAAAAAAACCGAACCAAAAAAACCAACACCGAATGTAAAAAACCGAACCGAACCGTTATTGTTTGGTTCCGTTTTAGTTTTTACTTTGAAAAACCGAACCGAACCGAATAAACCGAACTTATTTATATGCTTCATTTTATTTATATGAGTATACGTGATATGTATAAAAATCATATAAACAAAAATGCAAATAAATTACTAGTCGATTAAAGTTTTTTTTCTTAACTATTAATTAAACATCTTAACCATATTATAAACTTTAAAAATTCTAAGAATATAAACACTAATAACTAATCCTAATATAAAATTATACGGAGTATAACATTAAAAATTAAAATGAGTAGTTAACATATTTACATAAAAAACTTTGATGTTATAATGAAAATGAAAGTACTATATCAAAAAAATACAAATTCTCTGCAATTGATTTTACATACGATATCTTTAAGATTATTTAGAATCTTCTACATGCTTGTTAGACACTTGACTCATATTTTGTATGTAAAATTGAACCGATGAGAACACTAACCTTCCGTTCGGCTTTTTTTTGTGAAAAAATCAAGCAAAAAATCCAAACCCAAATTTACGTATTGTTATTGCTTCGTCGGGTTAGTATTTATACAATTTTTAATGCTTATAAATATTTACTTTTATAAACCGAAAAAACCAAAAAAACCAAGATAAAAACCGCATAAAACCGAACCGAATAACCAACGGTTTACATATTTTTTATGCAAAACCGAACCGAACCGCCAACTTACCTTCCGTTTTGTCTTTGGTTTTAGGTAAAAATCGAACCGCCAAAACTGAACCCACCCCTAATTTCGGGCTCATTCTTTTTTGGTAATAGGAGTTTTCCAATGACATTAGAACCCCATGTCATGGGATGATTCGGGCGCTCTGGTGTGTCATTCGTAAAATTGATGGTTTTTACCTTCTAACATTCTGGATAAATCCCTCCCATCCCCCGCCCCAACTCGAACACATCCCCCACTCCCTTTAATTGCACTCTCAAGTTAATTTTGACTTTGAAGTCAAATTATCGGACAGTGCCATGGGAACCATCCCCTTTCAAATTACACTTGTAATATTTTACTCTAGACGGCCATGAAAGTTAGTGTTTCAATAAAGACACCTACAATACGTTATCACAAAATTGATAGTTCCTACTTCAGATCCTCTTCGGTGAATCTCCCACCCAATCTCGACTCTGACTCATCTCCCTGTCTACGTCAATTGCGAGGTGTAAGTTTACTTGACTTTAAGATCAAAATTTTGATCCAAACAAATTAACGTAGGTAGGAAACGGGTTATGGTTGAGATTGGGAGGAGACTTACCGAGAGACTAGGGGGTAGGAACTATTAATTTTGTAAACGTAGCACCGTAAGTGTCGAGTGTCTTTCGTGGCCACTTAAAACATAGTGACCATATAAGTATATAACTGAACTCTTAACATGTTGGATGTAATAATAATTCTTATTAAAATCTAGAATTTGACAATGACTAATGAAAATCTCCCAAACCTTTTGTATTGAAAATTTCTATGTCATATCAATTGTTTATGGACCATGCTACACTTACACCAAAAAATATACCCCATTTGTACACCACAGGTTTGCACAAACATTTCGATAGTTTACACCGACACAAGTGTTGGTGCGTTAATAAAAATTCACACGGACACAAATGTTGGTGCATTTAACAAAAATTAGTTTTACACCAACACAAAGTGTTGGTGCAAAACTGCGGGGTACAAACTGGGGTACAAAACTTGGGGTACACATAGCATAATCCATTGTTTATTTACGCATCGATTTTGTTAGTGTGATTGCTAGTGGCGGAGCCTTATTGGGTCAAGTGTGTGCAACAGCAACCACCAAATTTGTATAAAATAATATATATTTGCTCGTCTGATACGAATAACGTATCGGAACGGGAAGAACGTCGAGCGTTCTTCAAGCTCCAAGAGGAAAAAGGATAGAGAAAGATGGAAAATTTCGAGCACTTTCGAGCTCCAATAAAAGAGAAAGAAAATTAAGATTTGATAGTCTTGATTGAATAATAATGATACGGAGTTGCAATATATAGAAAGGAAAGCTACGCTCGTTGACCTAATTAACTTGACCCATACTAAACTCTAAACCCTATTAACTATAAAATATTGAATAATAAACACTAATTGACTAATAACTAATCAAATATGCTAATCATCATACATATCATCGTTTCAGTCTATTTGTTCAATTTGACTTTTTGAGTCAAACTGGACGAACTATAATTATCAATTACTCACAACCTGTATTGCATATTAGAACAGTAAAATAACATTTTGAAAGTTCTCAACGGGACTAATCTAATGAAATAATTTGTATACTATTATCAAAATAGTCATATAGAAAAACCAAAAACAATAAGATCATGAAAACATTGATACAACATCGTCAAAAATTAAAACTATAAGCTTCATAAAAATTATGAGCCAGAAATTTAGGTGGTCACATGTCAAAACAATTCGGGTTTTATGTGTTCCGGGCTTAGTTCATTTTTTAGATTATTTGAATTTGGATATTTATTTGTATCTATATACAGAAAAAACAAGTATTATAATACTTGTTTGTGTTATATCATTATATAAATAAATAGATATAGGGCTTGTTTGGAAAAAGTGTTTTTCAATTAGCGTTAGCGTTTTGGATAAAATATTAATGGTGTAGATTAATTCAGAAAACGCTAAAGGCTACCGTCATATAGCCTTTTCAAAACGTTAACGCTACTCTGTAACGCTGATGTCAAACAGGGCCATTTACAAACATGGGAGATAACATGAGGAAACGAAAAACTATTTATGTGTCCCGGTTTCCTCCCACTCTAAGGAGGTGGATAAAATTGTCATTTCAAACAAAATGAATGAATATAGGGACAAGAGCCACATACTAGGCACATAGGCACATATTACCAATCAGGACAACCGAATAGAGTTTTGTTTCACCCATAGTTTTGAGAACCGGACCGGTGACCGAACCGGTCAAGGTACTGGTTCACTGATTTACTGGTCGAACCAGTGGTTCAACTGGTCGAATCTGTGGTTTAAACATATTTAAAAATTATACAAATATAAATAAATATAAATATATATATATATACACACACACACACATTCTCATGTATAAATACATAAAGAAAGTAATTTATAATATTTGACTAAAATTATACTCGTATTAATATACTTGAGTTATTTTACTAAATTAAAAGAAAAAATTTACATACTAAAAAATATTATTAAAATTTTATTTAAAAAAATATCAATGATTTTGTGTTTAACTCATAGCTATATAACTACTACGCATTATATTTTTAAAATTGAAAAGGAATTTTTATGCAATCTTTTTATTAATTATGAAATATTATAAAAAATTATACAAATCTAAAACAACAAGCACAGTTAGTTGGGCGGTTAGGAACTCAACCAAATAGCAAAGGAGTCTTGGGTTCGAACCCTCATGGAGTGAAGTTTTGGAAAAATTGCAAAAAAAAAAAAAAGAAAAAAAAACTGGTCTTCAAGCCGGTTCGGACTTGTTCGAAGCTCATTACGGTCCACTGGGTCGGACCGGACCGGTTGGGCCGGTTGGGCCACCGGTTCGCCGGTTCACGGTCTGAACTGGCCGGTCCGGTCCGGTTTTTAAAATGGTTTCACACCTACCCACCAAACTATTAACTCGGGGTGTTCGGGGCCAATTTGAAATCCGCATTTTTGTGATCGTAGGGAAAACAAATCACACGGTTTGATTCGATCTTCTCCGGCGAATATCTGTCGCTAATCTCCGTTGGATTCGGAAGCCGATCTACTGACAGTTTGGCTGCATACCTGTGAGTATATTTCTGGATCGAGAATTCTAGATGTGATTTTTTTGGGGGGTATTATGGTAAAGGAGCGATCTGATGAAATGTGTGCGGCGGTGA